ATTTCAGGCTATTGTGATGGGATGGATATGTTTTTGTTTTAATATACTTCAGGAACTCAGAGATGTTAAGAAGTTGTATGAAGTTGGTTAAGCTGCTACAGTTTGTCCTGGAAGGTAATTTTGGTCAGGTTAGTTGAACCTACAGTGGAAAAAGGTTTTGCAAAAGGCCATAATTCTTATGGATTAAGAGTGTGCAATTGGACAGTCAGTACAAATCAGTTGATATAACTAGCTTGTGTCTCAGCTTTGTAACTACTTTTCAAAGTAAAGGTGCAATTTAAAATGCTTGTCATAATTCGCAGTGTTTTGATATTCTTGTGCATCTAAACTTAACAGCCTGAAGTTAGAGAAAAACAATCCCCTGTTAATTTGCAGAAGGATAAAACAGGTAAAAACTGGATGGGACAGGGCCATGGAATTATTCTTTTTATATTCCTGAATTTTTCTTTTGGTTCTGTATTTGTAGTGAAAATAGAAGCGCATACGAAGAGCTTGTTTAACAATTAAAGCAAATCTGGGCTGATTATGAAATATAAACTAAACCTAGATCTGACATCTGCAGTTTTCAATGTGTCTTAATACCGTAATGCTTTCATGACACTTATATTGCCTTAACTATTTCATATACTAATATCGGATGAGATGTGTACTTGTGTAAAGATCTGTGTTATGTTTGTAGTCTCACAAATAAATTTTAGAAAATATTCTAGAATAATCTGTGACCAAATAATGGCCAAAGGATTTGTATGTTGTTGCAGTAAATTCCTTACCTTTGCGTGTAGGTTATATGTATTTCTGCTTGCTTTAAAATAGTTGATAGCTGTTTCTATATTTATCTGTGAACTTACATGAATTCTTAATTTTTCATTATGCTTTACTGCTTTGGAGGAAAATAATTTGTTTTGTTTCAACTTGAGCATCGCTATCAGTATGATGACTGGAATTCTTAGGGGACCATGGTTAAAGTAGCAGTACCTAGAAAAGCAGGAAGAAAATGTTGGTGGGTTAATTACATTACTGAAATTTAAACCTGAGCTAGGCTGTAGTAGCTTTAGAGGTTGATGTATTTGGAATTGAAATGCTATCATGCAGATGGCTGTGGAAAAAAAAAAGAAAATACTGAGAAGCAATTGATTTTTCTTGTGATGTGCTTCAGTTCTGATTTTTTTTTTTATGGTAAAATTCAGCTGTATTATGTCAGCCTTATTAAACCAAGGCTTAAACCTCCTGGATATTGTGTGAAAATGGGGCATGGCAAACACCTTTCTTCTGAAAGTGAATCAATGTCTTAAAGATGCCATGAAATGAGGTGAATTAGGGCTTATTGGGAGAAGCCATGTCTCATACAACACCAGTTTATACATCTGGAAGAAAGGTCTATTTTGGCGGTCTTGGGCTTCTCACTTAAGTTTAGTTATACATACCAACTTTGTTGATACGTACAACCTTTTGCTGTGGTATCTTGGAGAAATGGTGCTAATGGCACAGTTTCTTATAATAAAGTTATCTTCCGAGTCCTAGTTTGATAGGTGAGGTGCAAACAGTATTTTACAAAATATGTCTGGAGACTGAAAATTTCCTCATCTTTGAGCTAATTAAAAGTGTCGAGATTTTTCCTTCAGTGGATGGAAGTTATTGCTTTGAAGTAGTGAGGACAACTTGGGTAGTGCAGTGTCCCAGTGTTCATTTGTATCCATTAAGTTCCGTAACCCCTGTCAACATTGATGTGGCCATTGGTTTGCTATTAGTATTTCCTGAAGTGCTACCTCATTCTTTTGTATCTTAACAACTTTCTGGAATCTGTCAAAAGATGTGAAAACATGTCTGATGCTGAAGGTCACTTAAAAGGAGTTTGAGCTGAGGGCTGTTTTCATGAAATCGTGCTTTTCTCAGAAACTTACTGTCATCATTAGCCATGCCTTAGTGTTTACTGGTGCCATTGCAAACTTTTTTCTTAGCTCTCAAGGAAAAGATAACCCTTGGCTGTTGAAGAATTTATCAGTCAATGTAATTGCAAAGATTGAGCACTGAATGCGGTTGTTGAAAATGGAGTTTAAACGCTGAAATTACCTTAACAAATGATTTTCCATAAAGTTGCAACTATAGTCTCTACCCAGTGAGTACGTAGGAATGTGGCAGAAGTGTTCCTTATTTTGTTTAGTGATGACAAAGTCTGCATGAGGAGCTCCTGCAGTGAAGTTTTCATGTTTTGATTGCCAAACATCATGGTCTCAACAGAAGCAGCTCCCAGACACAGTATAATATTATGCGTCGTGTTTTCTTGCTTCAGGGTCCTTATGTGCTACAGCCCATATGTGCTGTAATGACAATGCTTTTTATAGATTGAGTGACTGAAAATTAAAAAGGACTAATCTGCAACATTTTACCTCATGTATTACAGATAGTGATAATTTCAGAGTAGAGTGATGTGGCTCTTGAATTTTTTGTTGTCTCATTTTTAATTGTGGTGGAAGAGTTGTAAACAATGAGCTGTGAGTGTCAAAGTGCAAGTGGGGAATCAGTTTTGAAATATGAGTTTATTTATGGGAAAACTTCTCAGTGTTACTTGGACAAATATGCATTAAAATACTTAGACAAATTTTCATTGCTTGCAGTAAGCGCTGTGATATCTTTTGCAATTTTGGAAGAGCAGTTGGCTCCCAACTGTAACTACCTGCGTCATTTTTTTAACATAGTATAAGAAATTACCAAAGAAGAAATATAAAGGCTTTCAAAATGCGTATTTAAATGTTGATACCTTCACATGAATGTGTTTGCATTCTTAAGAACAGGCTCTTAAAGTCCTGAAGAGAAAAGAAGACCAAGTTTTAAAAAAATATTTGAATAGTAAGTCCAAATTAGCATATGTATTGAGCTGCTGAAACAGCATATATATGCTGTTTGATTCGCAACCATGTTCCTGTTTATTCAGTTTTAGTGGTTTCACTCCCAGACATGGCCATTATTCAAGTTGTTCTATTCAAAAATATTGTTCCCATGGACAGGGAATCAGTTTACCTCTAAAGATGATGCATTCTAGGGTTTATTAAGCTTCAGTAACTATTTCTACAGCAGGAGGATCTTTTTTATAAATTCATTTGCTAATGAAAATAGTCTAGAACTTAAAATATTTTCATATGCAACACTTTCACTATTTATTCTATAAATTCCACAATATTTAATTTGTATTTATGTTTTTCTGATAAAACCCATATCTATATTGCCAAGGAATGCCTGAATGCTACTTTCTTCTGAGAGCCAAGTGCGTATGTTCCTAAGCTTGCTGGATTTGCTTATGTGCATTTCAGAGGGGAAAAAAAAACCCTCAAAATCTTGATTTTATTGTGCAGAGTTTTAGTAGGAGTGTAATACTTCTCAATTTTACAAGTAAACTTTTTACAGGTGTTCAGATGCTCAAATTTCAGTTATTTCAATAAAGTTATTTCTTTAGAACCATTCCTGGTAATCGTGCCACTCTGTCCCAGCCAAAACCAGCACATAGTGAATTACAGTTTTCAGTTTGGATGAAAACTTAATAATCAAGAAGTGTAAACTAAGGCTCTTATTGAAAAGTGCAGACCTAATTAACTATTTGTTATGTCATGCATTTTTATTTTTCTGGTTATATTCAAAGACTGTTGTGGTTGACTTCTTTTAATTCACTCTGATATAAACAATCTTTCTCTGACAATCTTCTGTTCTGAATGGACTTCAGTGTGATAGGTTGATTATCTAGAGGTGCCCACCTGCTTCCCTCCCCAGAACTTCTTTCTCTCTCTGTATGTAAATGTAAGTAAGCTCAAAAATGAAACACTTGATTTATTTTTGAGCTTCCTTGAAAGTATGATGTAAGTGCAACTTTGTACGTAAGCACATAAACACAAAAATTTCTTGTGCTGGTCTGTTCAGCAGTTTTAGATCCATTGGGTGTTGATAATGCAGTAGTGTGACCTTGAAATGTGTGGCGGAGGTTATGTGCTGTGGAGTATGGTGATAAGATGGGCTGCTGAATGGGTCCCGCACGCCTCATGAGTTGAAAAGTGGATTATGAGATAGCCATGTGCCCTCTGCAGCAAGAATTCATGCTGAAAGTGCCAACTGGAGCAAGTGTAACTTGTGTAGCTGATTGCTGCTGCTCTCTGTAACACAGCTGTTGGTAGAGAACAGACCAGGTACTGAATAGCAGAGGCATTCACTGGCAGCTGTTCTCATTGGTGTGCCAACAAACGGGAAAATACCTTTTTTTTTTTTTTTTAAAAAAAAAAAAAAAGCCCTCTGTGTGACACTGCTGGATCCTCATGGTCTGTGTGACTATGGTAGTCCTGAAGCTTGAGGTTTTGGCTGCCTGCATTTTTTGATCTAGCAGTTGATTTCACCCTTTTGGAATATCCCTCCCTGCAAACAGGCTAGGTGAAGCATCTTAAAATTGTTCCACGTGGTGTAGTAAGATATGTATTTTGGGCTTGAAACAAAGCAGCTATAAAATCATAAGCCTTGGAAGAGCTTAGTATTTCCAGCAACTTATGTTGTGTGGCATATGCATTTTTCTGAAATGTGGGTAGATTAACTTAAATTCACAGGAACAGGGAGAAGTGGGAATCTCTTAATAGAACCAGTTAACATTTGTCTGCTAGGTCAAACTTGTAGTGATGGATCATAGAGAAGAGTAGAATTAGTGGATTTTTAATTTTCTGTAGCTCTTAAATTTTTTTGACCTGCACTGAATGTGTTTTGATGGCAGTAGTTTCTCTTAAAAAGTATCTACAGCTTAATGGTGGAAAAAAATATTTTTAAATATATATTCAAGTCTTAGTGAAAATGACAAAGCTTTTGGGTTTCTGTTTCCATTACATCTTGCAGAATGATACAACATTTATTTGTAACTTGATACAAAACCTGCAAGATTTATTTACAGATGTGTAAGTTAAAATCAACAAATGAAATATTGATCTTTGCCATAGGAAATAAGTGCAAATATAGTAACTGCATTTTGTTTTCTTTACAGAAATCACAGCCCATTAATGAGCTTTGGAGCCAGTTTTGTCAGTTTTTTGGTGAGTTGATGGGAGCAGAGAGTATATGTGTCTTCTCTTGTGGTTAATGTTTGTGCACGCGTGTGTTCATAAACGGTGGATACTCTAATTTTTTTCTTTTTATACGACTTAATTTTTTAAAAGTTTTAGATTAAATGTAGCTAGAAAACAAGTCATTATATAAAACTTGTTTACTCATGTGGCTTAAATAGAAAGGAAAGGTTCTGTGATTCAGCTTCTCAAATGTATGAAATATTTATGTGTTCCATTAAAAGAGCCATAATAAAACCCTCCTTTAAATGAGCAGTAGAGGTATTATTAAAACAATACTCATGAATGCTATTTTCCTGATAGCTTTTGCTATTGAAAATTTCTTCATCTGTACTGCCAGGTGAAAGTTGTTTATTCAATTCATTCACATTGTTTCCTTCTTGAATATATGAGAACTGAGAGTATTGACTGACTAGAGAGTTGTAATGAGCAAGTTAGGTCTGTTAAATGCTTTTCTTCTTTTTTTTTTTTAAAGTATTAAAAATGAGAATATCTTACGTAAAAACTAAGCAGGTGTATTAGAAAATGTTTGGATCCTGTTTTTTAGACTGTCCTTATTCTGACTTTGCTGCTTAATCTTTAATTGCACCAGAAATTATCTATGGTAATACTCTTTTTAAAGACAGAATTTATTATAATATGCCAGAAATAGATACATTGTAAATGAAATTAATTTGAATTTTCTCTAGTGGCTGTAGACTATGCCATATGGAAAAATATATTGCTTAGGAAACCTCCTGGGGCATGTGCTTGCTTTTAAGTCAGTGGAGAGAAGAAACGAAAGAGGGAGAAATCTCTCAGGCTTGCTGATCTGAATTGATGCACTGAACCAGCGTAACATCACAATGCAGCATCGGTGGATCTTGAAAATATCTTGCTTAGCTGCTGTTCTAAACATAGCAGCAGCACTTGTGTGCCCATGTCATTCAGATCTTTTGTTTAATAAAGCAGCAAGAAAAGAAGTTACTTGTCCCCTGGAATTCTTTCTAAATTCGTTCAGCAGTAGTTGGAGTTGTATGCATTTTTTTTTTCCTACTAGGAATTGTGGTTATTATTTTGAAAAATGCAGTAGCTGTTACTTGTTACTGACTTTGGAGGTCTGTTATTTATGTGGATGAATGACATAAAAAGCAGTATCTGCACAGATGCAAATCGTGCCTTACATAACAATAATTGAAAATTAACTTATACAAATCCTACTTCTGCTTAATGTAATGTGACGGTGCATTCAGTTTGACTGCATATGAAGCTTTGTTAAGACAAGGGGATAGGACTTAATATATTGTTTTGATTTGTCTTGGAATTTTGGTAAAGTGCTCAAATCTCTAGTTTGTTGTTTCTGTGTAGAAGTATGTGTATTGACCTGTGAGTGTATAAATAAGTTTTTGAAAAAAAAGTGAGTTTTTATTAAAACTTTTACTCTCCTATAGCTTTTGCAGAAATAAAAATATTTGTGATTTTTACCATTCAAATCTATTCTGTTTCTGGTAGAATGCCATGATGACATTTGAAGAAGAGAAAATGCAGCTAGCGTGTGATGACTTAAAGGCTACAGAGAAACTTTGTGAAAGCGAAGAAGCTGGAGTTATAGAAACAATCAAGAATAAAATTAAAAAGAATGTAAGAACATTATCTGTAAAGTACGGAAAGTTGTATTGGATAAATATTTCTGGAAACTTCCTTTCTGTCCTCTTTGTATTTGACAATACTATTTTTGACATGTGAAGAGCAGTTGAGATTAACAATAAATTTAGAAATTAGGTCGAATAGTTTGCATGTATTTCCTAAGTATCAGAAAATACTTGGGGTCAGGTAATTCCTCTTGTAAAGCCGCAGGTTGTGTTGATGTTAGTAATTATTTTCTTAACACCTCAAATCAGTGACTTACTCAAGTTATTTCAGGAAGCTTGTAGCCTGTCTATTTCTAGCTAACTTTAAATCATACATGCTCTAATAATGTTCAGAAGTTGTGAGACTGAGACTGCATAGTGCTGTGTGCCAGACATATTCCTAGGGAATTTTCCTTCTTTTTTTTTAGATTTTTCATTCTGAATAATGAAGGAAGAATAAAGCATGCAGATTGAGAACTAGTTGAAGTAGTAGTATAGAAATGTCGAGTGGCCTGCCTAGTGTGACATAGCAGATCTACAGCAGAAAAAGAAGCCATTTCTCTTCAATATTTAGTTTACTTGATAAAAAGTATTGAACCTGACGTACATAACTCTCTGCTCTTAAGAGGCACTGTATTTTCCCTGCCACTTGGCATATACCTCTTTCTGTGCTTTTCCATCTAACATATTTTAGTTTCATGTCTGATGTATTTAGTAATAATTACATGAAATTTAAATCTGTTCTGAGTATTTGTAGAATATTCACAAAAATAATTAATGGCATATATGTAAGGTTTCCCTGTTTATTAAGTAGGAGCTTGCTTGATGAGCTGTCAAAAACTTTCACCATAGTTCTGAACTTCAAAATGCTGAATTAATTCAGTAGTAGTACCGCTTGCTGTTAATATTGGATTTTTTTTTTAATTTGTCATGTTTAGACCAGTATTCTGTATTGTCTTTGGTAACATTTTTCTGTGCTCTGTGTATTCCCAACAGGTTGATGGACGAAAATCCACTCTATCCATGATAGATCGTCTGCAAAGACAAATAATTGTAGCAGACTGTCAAGTCTACTTGGCTGTGCTCGCATTTGTAAAACAAGAGTTATCAGGTGTGCTGTGGCTTTAATGTTTAGTTATATTTTTTGCATGATCTTTTTAATAAAGCTTGATCGTAAAGTGGCAAAATGTCTGTCAGCAAAGATGATTGTTTTGTAAGAAAGAGCACCGTTCCATTTGAAACATTCCAAGATTCGAACACTTGCCGAGCTATTGATGTACCTTTGTGTAGGTAGTAGTATCATAAAATAAGTTGGATTGCTACAGATTACACCTTTTTGCTTTGTTTGTACCAATGATCATTCAACTGATTCTTCTGAGATGGGTTGGAGTCCTTTACATGTTCCTATAGAGGCATTTGGGGAGTTGCTACGAAGACGGGTGGCATCTGAGTGCTTCATGTGGTCTGCAAGATAAAAGAGGCTATAAGTCCAGGCCGCTGAGAAAATCCTAATGTCCCATATGCATTATGTTCATGACGACTCAAGAAGATGACAAACTGCCAGTGAAAGTAATTTTAAATGAAGCGTGTTGAAGATGGAGCTGCTGAATCAGTTCTTATTCTCTGGTCACCAAAGTCCGTCCTTGCATGCCAAAGAGATTAATCCTGTCGTGTTGAATACAAACCTTCTCGTCTCAGCTGCAAAGCTGTTTCTAATGTTCTCTTGCATTCCTGGATCTCTTACATAATCTTAAAACATGCCTTCATCCGTGAGTTTATAGAAAACGTGGTCAAGGTCATATACAAAGTGAGTGCATTTCCTGCTTCTTGCTGAACCAGTGAAGACAAAGAGATGTCAGTGAAAACCCTGCTGAAAACCCAAAAGAAATCAGAAATACCATTCAGATTATTTAAAATAACACTAAAATCTTCAGTCAAGGACCTAATACTTTCTGTGATGTGCAGACTTGGTTTCTTCCAAGCCATGATGTCAAGAATGTGTTTGGTTCTAGCTAGCAGAAATTTTGGGGGTATTTCTGTCTACTGTGTATGTACTGCTGCAGAAAGGTTTTCTTACTGGTTTTGATGCAGTTCTGGGTTTTTGTTTGTGGTGTGGTTATTTTTTTTCCCCTCTCTTTGAAGCATTTTTCTTATTTCAGTATGTATTCTGCAGCTGCGTAACTGGGTTGGATGCTGTAACTGAGGGTGGTGTCTGTTCCCTTTCTCTTGTCTGCTGCTTGGAGAACTGAAGTGGGTAGCAGAGTAGTACAGAACATGCAGTATATTTGGGTTACTCTAAAGAGTAAAAAGTATACGTGAAATCTTTAGTTGAAATTCCAAGTGGTTAAATGCCACCTCAGCGACTGCTAGTTACTGTCGTTGCTGAACTGTTGGATCCATTATTTCATTTTTTGACTATATTATCTTCCTGATTATGAATAAACATCTTTTGTTTTTATCGTGTTTCCATACAGAAATAGCAATCAGAGTATTGAGATGACTGTACTTTCAAAAAAAAAAAACAAAGGCATTTTTCAGAGGCAGATAAATATTTCTGATCAGTGGATGGGTGAAAAATTTATTGTGTTTTTATTCCTGGAACAGCTTGACAAGAAGCATATGATGACAAGCCAGCTGCTTTCTCATATGCCTAACACATTTTAGATTTTCCTTTCCACCCTCATGGATATATTAGAAATAGTTTCATCATAAAGTTAGTAACACAGCAACTTATATTAGCTTCCCACAGCATTATTGGACTAGCTTTTCTTGATATTTCCCACTGCTGTCATGGATCTGACTCCTTTCAGAAGTTCATGCTGGGAAATCATCTCAGTGATATGGCTTGATTTAATTTTCGTGTTTAAAATGTCAGAAATTAATTGTTTTAATGTGATAGATTGTTTTCTCTTAGTATATCAAATCTATTAGGGTTATACAGTGTTAGTGAATGGTTAATGGCAGCGCACTGGTGGAAATAAAGCCTAAAACTATGTTCCCCCCCACGTATTATCCTTTCCATTTGTGTGTGTCAGAACAACAGTAGTTAGCAGAACCACTGTCTCTAGGATAAGTAAAATGCAGGTTTTTCCGTATTAGTTGTCTGCTGCATTGCTGTGCATAGTGGTATGAACGTTCCTCTTGTGGTGAACCACTTAACTTTCAAAATATTCTGTGCAGCCGAAAAGTGACCTAATTGCTTAAAATTAAAGTAACGTTAGTCTTGTAATGCAGCTGAATCGTGGCAGGGCTTTACATTTTTTATTATAACATTTTAATATGGAACTCACGGTAGAGGACTAATTTTTTTAGTACTTTTAAGTTCATGTTGACAGAACCCTTCTGCCACAGCTGAGAATACATATTTTGCAGTCTTTCTCAGTGTGATTTCTTAAGACTATCAAACTGGCTTCATCCTCTCTTCATACAACAAGAATACAGAAAGAGGTAGTCTAGTCAGTGATGATACTTTCTCTAAAAATGTTTTTTTTGTCATTGGAAGGATTTTGTCAAATATATCAAAGGCTTATAAAGAAAAATTTGGTATTAATAGTGTTTTTATTTTCTTTGACACACCCCACCTGTTATGATCTAATTCTGGCATCAGTTATATCACTGATCTCTGCAAATTAGGTGATAACCTGTTTAGAACACTGCTGCTATAACCATGCTTTTTTATTCTCTCATTTTTAGTTAACTCCTTGTCACTGCAATTCCTAACTCTCAGTGCTCTGTCACAGACAAAATGCTGGTCTGCTTTTAGAGTTAAAAAATGTACAAATATATTCTGTGTTTGTTTTCTGTTTACTGCTTACCATTATCCAAGGTTGTGTTATAACCAAGGTGAACGCTGTGTAAATAGGCAAATTGGATGTCTTCATCTTTTGGTGTCAAGTCTTTCTTTACCCTTCTGTAAAGAGGGCAATGAGACTGAGAATTCTCGCATTCTCAACTGAGAATGCTCAAGACCAGATTTTTAGGGAAATTTAGGTACCCAGTTTGCATTTGAAGTTGAGGAAGCTAGGCAGCTGCAAAATGTTTTAAAACCATAAAATTTATGCATTGTTTTATATTTTCTATGATTTTATCTAAACCAAAGCAAGGGGTTTTCTTAGTATTTTCCCATCAACTGTCTTTTAATGTCAATTTGGCTTAAGAGGTGTAATCTCTTCTTTGAATTTTACTTCTCTCTGTTTGCTAGGCAGCCATTTCATCTCCACTCTATAGTGGACAGAATCCAGCATTACGTTCTTGGATTTCTCTGTTTCTGACAGTTGTATTGCTACATAGCTGAAAGGAAGTCCCTTTGTATTACATGCTGTTTTGAAGTCTCTGGCTGAAAAGCACTTATGTTTGTAGTACCCAGTATGAAAGACCTCTTCAAGACGACGGTAGCTATTGCAAAATCCTTTATACAATAAGTTAATGCAAATAGAGAGAACTTCCTGGGATCTGTGAAACAGCGTTTACTACTTACTGTGTTCCACTCCTGAAATATGTCCTTGAAATATTTTTTCCTTCATTTTTAGCATACATAAAAGGTGGGTGGATACTCCGAAAAGCCTGGAAAATTTACAATAAGTGCTATACGGACATTAATACACTTCAGGAAATATATCAGAAGAAAACAACTCAGGAATCCTTGACTTCTGATGCTGCAAATGATAATCATATTGCTGCAGAAGGTGTAACGGAGGATTCGCTAAACAGACTGAAAGGTGCTGTTAGCTTTGGATATGGACTTTTTCATCTTTGCATATCCATGGTGCCCCCAAACCTGCTCAAAATCATCAACCTGCTGGGTTTTCCTGGAGACCGCCTACAGGGGCTTTCTTCACTGATGTATGCAAGTGAAAGTAAGGACATGAAGGCCCCTTTAGCTACGTGAGTAGCTATATTGAAATGCTTTGGTAGATAACTTAGTACTGAAAGTAAATGGAAAAAAGTCAAAACCGAAAGGTCATGTTGCTTTAAAGGAAACAACAGCAGGTAAAATAAACTTGTAGTTTGTTGTTTAACATGCCATGGTTTAGTAGATTCATCACTTACTAATGTATGAGATCTCTCTGCTGTTAGTTATTTACGTGTATTTGGGGTTTGTGTCGGTATATTTCTGTGTTGTTCAGTATCTGCTATTCTAATGTCTAGTAATTTATATGCCAGCAGACTAAATAAAAGCACCCCCTGAAGGCTGAGTAAATTTACCCAAGTTATATTCTCTGCTATGGAGAGCATACTATTTTGTAGGAGTCGTTGTCTCACTTGGGTATTTATCCATACTATTAGCCAAAGATCTTTTCCAGTTTATTTTTATTTCTAGTATCTGAGTAGAATAGGATGTTCCCTTATAGTCTTTTTAGAGGAGTATTTTCCATGTACTTTTTTTCCCAAGCCTTCATACCGCATGCAGGTCTTTTTACCAGGTGAAGGGTTAGCCGGACTTAATTTAAACTGCCCTCATAAATGGGTTTGTTATTCCATTATCGCCAAATTAATCCTTTTATTACTGGGCCTACTGCAGGTACCATCAGATGTCACTTTTGAAACATTGACAGCAGAACTGAAGTTTCTTCTGCTTGAGAAGAATTGGATTTTTGATTGGTTAAGAAAGCTTAAAATTAAATGTTCCTGTTGATTTGTTCTTTCTGCTTTCTGGGGAAGAAAAATGGTATTTTTGAGGGTGTTTCCTTCTTCAGATGGTCTTGGAAGTCTTTGTGCTCTGCCCTTGTTTCCAGGAGCGATGTAGGTCATGTAGATGTCTGCCCTTCTGAACAGTGGATGTATTTCTGTTTAACATTGATTTCAAGTGTGTTGTCTGATGTGTGTTTAGTTTTGTTTATGGGGTGTTGGGGATTTTTTTTCCTTCTAATGATCGATTGGTTTTTATTTTTTGAAATTTTTTTAAAGTCTGTTCAGTTGTAAAGGCTGAACTGCTTTGATGCTGTGAGCTCACCTGTTACTTTACCTTTGGGTAGTGTGCACTGAATTGTATGTTCAGGTGCAGTTTAGGAGTACATACATTGATGTATGGCAATAGTATCGTGTGTTTTAAAGCCAGGTTGTATAAGAGAAGATTTATATCTGTCTTTCAGAATTGTTAAAAAAATTTCCTGTGTAGAATGTTATCCTTAGATTTCTGTTTGTGAGCTGTAATCCTTTTTACTCTCGTGTTTCTTTTAGATTAGCTCTGTTGTGGTACCACACAGTTGTTCGTCCCTTTTTTGCCCTTGATGGCAGCGATAACAAGGCAGGGTTGAAAGAGGCAAAAGAAATTCTCGCAAAAAAAGAATCTGCGTATCCAAATTCCTCTCTGTTCATGTTCTTCAAAGGAAGGATACAGCGATTAGAGGTACTGCAGGTTTTCTTCCTTTTTGACTGATTTCTTCCCCTCACCCTTTCTTCTTTTATGATTTTCTGATGTGAGCTGTGCAAGCTTCAGCAGATTGTGACTAAAGATATAGAGATATGAAAAGATAAGTAAGAAGAAAGGATTAACTCCTTCCTAGTTCCAAGTTCATGTGCCAAACCTGCTTTTCCACTACTTCTGTCTGAATTAATGGCACGTTGAAATTCTTTTTCAGCTACTCGATATATTTGTAGCTCTGTGCTAAAAGGAAGTGCTTTTAGTCACTCATGAGTTTCTTGTGGTATTAATAGCTATTTTAGTTTTGCTTGACAAGCTAAATCTGAGTATTATCTGCTGAGTACATGGCATTTACTTCCCCTTTTCATTTTATGCATATACAGCTGATTCTTTGCAATAATTTCCCTCAAATAACTGCTTTTGCTTTTAAGAGGTCAAACCAGGATGTTTTCTGTTGTTAAGGGTGTATTTACTGAAAATACGTTTGAGAATGCGGTTGCAGAGTGTTACTTAAACACTGCAGCAGCCTCGCGGCTTTTGGCTGAGTTACTCTTTAAGAATCTATGATAATACAGGACGGTGATGGGTACTTCAAACTACTCAACTCCTAGCTGCTGCTCTTATCAGACCGGAATATTAAGAGCAGAGCAATTACATGAACAAGAAAACCCACCACAAAAGCACAAAACCAGAATGTTCAAACCCTTCATCTCAACATCATAGTTACAAGAGCTAATCCAGATCTTAATATGGATGGTCATTATTTGCTAGGGTATCTGAGAGTTAATTTAATATTTTGTGGGAGGTAGCAACAGTAGCAGAGTGGGGGGGGGGGGCGCGTTTCTGTGGCCTGGCAGATTTTGCAGGCATATTCTTGCATGGGGTTTGAATATTGTTTTTCTTTTTTTTGTCGTCTTTCTAAAAGCAAAAGTACGTTTTAAGAATTACACTGTTGCAGGCAATCTGTCAGTCTTTGGGAAGTATTGCTGTTTTCCAGGTGGGAAAGATTTTACTGGTCTTTGTTCAGTTATATGCTTATTCCATTCTTGTGGTAAAAATCAAATTTGTTACGAATAGTTACCAAATGAGCGTAAGTGCAGTTAGAAATGTAAATATGTTGATGGTCAGAGTATGACTTGGTATTTGGAACTCTTTTTTTCATGTTTAGTGTCATGAGGAATACAATTCAACCCTTACACAATTGTTCTGACTTTCAGGGCAAGCTAGGGCAAAATTATGAACTTAGTTGTCGGTAGACGGAGTATATGTTTCTGTGTGTAAATACAGGAGATAGGTTTGGAATGACTGTCAGTTTTGTGTAGACAGTCCCTTTCTGGAGTACTGTTGTGTTTCAGAGTTCTTTACCTGCTATCTTAGAGTATTTGTGCATTAAATAATGCTGTATATAGATGCTGAAGATTAGCTCCAAGTGAAATAGTTTGTGCCAGAGACAGCATGGCCATGTTAGTAAAGTTAGTTAGCTGAGGCAGGCAGAATGCTATGTAGCCATACCTTTAGTCAGCAGAAAGTTAATTGGTTGCTAATAGGAGTTAAATGACCCTTTACTATTCACATATTTGTTTGCATGAGGGCTTTTCTGTTCAGGAGCCACTCTTTTTTTCCTTTGTTCTGAGTGGTACTGTATCATTGAGGCTTTGCTATGTCTAAATGTTTTGGTTAAATGTCTCAAGATGTTCTGTAGACTCTTAAGAATTTGCAAGCTTAATTTGCTTAAATGTTGTTGACATAATCGTGAAGGCAGATGTGTGACTGGTGTCAATGGCATGGGGAGCTGCACTGGATTTCTGCACAATAGACTTTTAGTTACACAGGTCCCAAATCCAGGCATTGGTTTTACCGTACGTTCTGAACCAGAAGTGCACATATACTCTGAGATTATGAACTAATACACTGAGTAGTAATTTCCAACTCATCTCTGAGGGTGCTGAGTGGACCTACTGCAAAACCTATGAAGTACTTATATGGCCTTCCTTGAAACTGTGAATATATAGGTAGGTTTAAATTCTTAAAATGCTTATATGGCCTTCCTTGAAACTGTTAATACATAGGTAGGTTTAAATTCTTTCTGCCAGGCGTGGGAATATTATTTTGAGACGGCTTACTGAAATAGGTAAATCTCTGCTTTACCCTGTAAGTGCTTAGAGTATACCTGAAGCTGAAGCTTGTATAGTTTATAGTCTTTAACATGTGTCACCTTTTAACAGTTCTGTGATAAAATTTAATTGAAGACAGATGAAAAGCAGCTTATATGTTGTTATGCAGAAGAGCTTGTGTGTTCTGCAAATAAGAATCAGTAATGGTCATTGTAGGCTTTGTATTAGAGCCTACTAGCACTCCACCCGTCAGATTTTTTTATAGCCTTTGGTCCTACAAGCACATACATTTTGTGTAACTTTCAGCTGATGATTCAGCTTCTGTTAGCAAGTATCTGTGTGTGTCTGTGCTAACATATGTATGCGCACCTGTATATGTGTATGTGTGTATTTTTTATTTTCTATGGAAAAAAAGAAACAGTAAGGAGCACAGTTCAGTCATGGGCACCTGGAGGCAGGGAAACTGATCTAAAGGCAGAAGCAGTAGCACAAGACTGGACAGTGAGACACAAATGTAACAAAAGAGAAAATTTCTGAGGAAGGCAGTCAAGGAGGAAGGAAGATGTCACACTGATGTCTATGAAAGACAAATGAAGAGCGTGTGACCATATAATGCTTTGTGCTCCAAGAAGCGTGTATAAATATTAGTCAATAAAAGCCTTACAGACTTCAGTTTTTAGAGAAGTAGCCTTACGGGTACTATAAACATAGACCAAATAAACTTTCAACATTTTTCCCAGATTCATGTTGTTGAGAAATAAAGTCTGAAAGCACTTGGACTATTGAAATGAATGAGTTGAAGAGGATCATCTGGGAAAGCTGGAATGAAAGTGTACCAGAATGTTAGAGGTTGCACTGGCAGGATGATCAGATCTCGCTTTTTCAAAGAGTAGGTTAACAGACTGTGTATTAAAAGCGGCATTTTCCCTGACTTTTACATAATTCACTTAAGCTGCTTTTATGGACGTAACTACTGCTTTGCTTGACTTGTGATTACATAGTATGTGTTCCAGTCTCACAAGTATTTCTTTGTGAGTGTCTGACTGTTTGTCTTTGAAACTCTTCCCACTGAAGCTGATAGAAAGTGAAGTTTCATGTAAGCTTATGCCACTAAAACCAAGTAATAGTAGTGTTTTATTCTTGTAGCTAATGGATATTTAGAAATGTAATTAGTATAATAGCTGCTGAAACACACTGGTCTGAAATCCAGAGTTTCTGGCTGTACCCTTGGGCCTTTGTTATTACTGTGAAAATAGCAAATGGATGGCAATGTTTTTAAATGTGTTTTGTCTAATATAATTGTGTTAATAAATAATAATTTACTTTTAAAACTGTGACTTGGACAGTGTGGTATTGTGGCCATAGTGAAAGATGGGCATGGTGGTAGCATGGGAGAGGGCAGAGTAAAAGATGGTGTTCCAGATCTTGCATATTTCTGGTTTTTTACCTTGTGATTTTGCTTTCTCTTTTTTTTCCATAATCAGCAACACTTTTTTTCTTAAAATTCTATCTGCTTTTTTAGATAGTAAAAATTGCTCTAAACAGAAATAATTAAATATATTGATAGCTTCATGTAGAGAGGGGTAATGGTATAAAGCAAAAATAGTGTTTGACAAAATTGTGAACGGGGCAAGTTCATTTGACTGGGAACAGATGTGTGTATAGATAAGCAACAAGAAATCTCTGGGACTGGGACAAAAAACTCCAGTTCTGGACTTGATCTGTAGAGTTCCGTTGGTATAGGTGTGTTTCTGAAGGAAAAAATACCAAATACACCAGCTGACGGGCAGAACACCAGTGGTACATTCAGGTGTGCTATGGTGTGTCTGGTGTGCAGGCTGGTGAAAATGTGCAGTGGTACTGAGGCCTTAAACATAGTGCTGACAAGTACTCTTGCTTTTTCAGTTAGTAGACATCTTGGTATCAGTTGTGTCATTCTTATTTAGGTATGGGAGGGTGTGGTGCAGAAAAGTAGACTGAGGGCAACAGTAATAATAAGCATTGAAAAATCTTAAATGAATCTTCTGGAATAAAGCCACAATGATGTCTTAAGTAAAGAAATTTTCAAAGCTTGTGTAATGTCAGGGTTTATTTTCAGGAACTGTGCTGGCTACTCTAGTTACTTGTTGTAGGTACAGAATCCTAGCTTTATTCTGTTTTCATTTTGTGGCATGTCTAGGGAAAAAGGGGGGGGGTGTATGTGTGTGGGGTTAAGGAACAGAAAATACCGGCTTTGAAATTTGCATATAGTGTTCTCCAGGGTAAAATGACCCCTGTTAGACGTTGTTTGCTGTTTTCCCCTTAGTTATGAGCATGACTTCTTAAAGGCTTTACAAATTCATAGTCCTAATGGAGAGTAGAGAGGTCTTGGGAGAGGAAAAGTGTCCTGAGACTTCAGAATAACTCTGTGGGGAAACGTTTGTCGGCTCGGGAAGCTCTGTAGATGCTTAGTTGGTGGGCTGGGGCATTTTTGGTTTTAATCTGAAGTCAAGCAATGAAAGATGATAATTCTTACATTAGCTTTAATAATGCTCTTTATGGTTATGTGGTTCTGTATGTTACACGTTTTATGGATTAATCTTTTTTTTGTCTTTGTATTATGTCCAAGAGAGGCAGGAGTGATGCCTGTTGAAGGAATTACAAGTGTATATGTATTTTTTTAAATCTCAAGAACATCAGCTTCAAGTGTCAGCAATGCGTTATACTTTCAGACTTTTGGGACTTTATAATTATTTCTGTTTATTCTCTGAAACAGTAAACGGGTAATAATTAATTTATTTTAAGAATTAAACCTAAGAGTACAAATTCATATTCCAGCATGTTGTCACAATGCCTGGAGGTGACTGAAACTTTAATTATTAAGGAATGTCTCTGAAACATACTTACTGAGCTTGATGCTTAAGGAAAACTTAGGCAGATGTCAAAACACTTGAGAGATCTAGACAGAGAAATGGATTATAGAAGATTGAATATTCATCTATCTGGACTTGTATATTACTAGGTGGTCAGTGTTTCATGTGCTGCCCCAGGCTGTTGTATGGCATTGCAGACAATGATGTAATTGCCATAAGTCATTGTGTGTAATAACATGCCTCACAAAGAAGTGATTTACATTTTAAAATGTTTGGGGTTTTTAGGTTTTTAGAAGCAAAGTATCTTCACAGAGGACTAAATATTTAGATTTCTTTTTTTTTTTTTTGGCATTTTCCTCATAAGCATTCAAAGCATGGATTTACTGAACTTCAAAACTTCTTGGCACAAAGATGCCAACATTATTTTATTTTTTTCTGTAAGACTGGGCTTGTAACACTCATTTTCCAGGAAGTAATGTTGGAGTGATGCAGCATCACTGAAATAATATGTAGTGGAGAGAATGTGCTGCTACAAAAGTAAACAAGATTTGCCTAGGCTCCCTGGTAACTTTGATGGCAGATATAACTCACCTCTCTTTCTGTGTAGTATATTCCTCTGTCATGCCAACAAGCGTCTTAGTGTAATCACTGTTTTATTTTCAAAGTGTACAGTGTTTGTATTGCTACAGCTGTGGATCTCTTTGCTGGCAGTTGTGCTATCTTAATGCAATATATATGATTTATAGTTAAATTGTTCCTTAGCAACTAAAACAGTTTTCCCTGATAGACAAAGAACATCTAATAAAATCACTTCAGAGCTCTGTGTGTGCTTTTGGCCTTAAGATACAACGCTGCAGAATTTTGCAGGAATTTTTGAATTCAGTTATGCTTGCGTAGATGACAGGTTTGCTTTTCCGAGGGTTTCTTTCACTTATGTGCTTAACCAGCAGAGAGTGGCTTAAAGATTCTTCTGTTGTATAAATTATTGTAATTGTATGTGAGAATAAGCGTAGGAATGATATTAAAGCAGATATAGGCCATATTGGTGTATATAGTGTGTCTGTGTATAAAACTAATTAAATGTTGTTTTGCATCCCCCCCTTATGATCGTTGTTAGAGAGAAGTCCCATACTAGACTGGGAAATAAGGTAGCGAAAAGAACTATCTGTCATTCTAGTTGTTATAAAACTGTCAGTCTCTTTTTGCTAAGCTGTTGGTAACTAATGATTTTATCAAAATTTCTTTTGAGCTTCTTACATGTTATGCAGCATTTATGGATTTTCTATTAATTATTGCTTAAAGTGGTTACTGAGGGACTTTTAAAGGTGGAATGACTAGTAAGAGTAGAAATGAGATTATTCAAAAGTTTACTGCACAAAACCAATGAATTGCAGACTTAATAGCAAATAGGAGGAATACAGCCACTGATTTTTAAGGTTGAGAGATGATCTGAACTGGCTGGAAGTTATTGGTGATCCTTATTACAGTATTAAACTCCTCTACTATCCCCCTCCCCCCTTTTTTTAACTCTATAGTGTTGTACATTTCTCTTTTTGTATAACTTCTAGAGTGCAAGTTCCTTTCTGTATGTTTTAATTTTTGCAGTTGCGTGTGGTAGAACTTGCAAGCACACACTTTGCTTTCCTGTCTAAAGTTGCATTTAAATATAAATCTGGGTTGCTTTGTATTAGTCATTCTTAATTCCTTTCTCTCTTGTAATTTGGTTTTTTTTTGGTATTATGTTACATGTCATGAAGATGAAATATATGGAGAAGTCTGTTCACTATGGGACCTCTTTAAGATGCTCGTTTATCAATGTAAAGAAAGGCTTTTGTCATAATTTGCCCATACTTCCATTCAAAAGTGATCAGGTCGAGAGAGCTGGGAGGAGGGAAGCTGGCCAAAGGAATTGCAATGTGGAGCTCGTATGTTGAATTAATATTAGCCCTTCTTCAAACTGTTAGCTCTATGGTGGTTTTTAGCTCATTTAAAATATTCTAGAGTCAGAAATGAATTTTGAGGTTTTCCTCTCAATGGGATGTTGTTCCTCTTTCATCTAATCAAACCAGAGGCTGCAATGTGTAATACACCTCAATTTTTTTTTAACCATATAGTTATTTTTAAATACCTGTTAACAGAAATCTGAATGTTTTCTATATCAAAATGAAATTATCTGACAAATACTGAATTTCAGACATCTGATTTTTTTTTTTTCTTCTTTCACTTTTGTTAGTGTCAAATCAATAGTGCCTTGACCTCATTTCATACTGCTTTGGAACTTGCAACAGACCAAAGGGAGATTCAACATGTCTGCTTATATGAAATAGGTAAGTTGGGTATGTTTATACTATAAATAGCTCATTTTCAAGTTTAGACTAGCAACTTCAATAAACAAACTGGATTATTTTTATTAGGATTTTCAAAAAGGCTTTAGAATCCTGGGCTTTGTCTTGGATGGCTTGTGGTAATAATCCTGTCTTCTTGTTTGGGCAAGTAGACTTCAACAATTTTTCATAATTTTAAAATTTCCTGCAAATACAAGGTGATGCAAAATCAGACAGTAGACTATAGAATCACAGGCAAACACCACAGAGTATTATTTAAAGTGAGAAATTAATTTGTCTGACTTGTCTGTGGAATTACCATTTCTGTGCCAAAAATGAATCAGTCTAGTGAAGCTTCACAGTTTGCAGCACCTGTATTTCATGTTCATTTCCTTCTATCAATAGCAATATATGCTATATGTTCTGAATTTGCATAGAGGTCTTTAAAGCAGGGAAGATATGTTGCTTCAGGCTTTAAATGTGTCTTGTTAAGGGATCTTCTCATAGTGGGGATGAATAAGGGAGCAAGTAGTAGCGTTGTAAGTTTCAGCATCCTCCAAAATATAGTATTTAAATTGAAAAAAAGAGCACTTATGTGTGTGTAGAGATTTGTTGTTGCTCTGCAGTGGATTTGTTGTTTTGTATGGAATCTTACAATTCAACATTTCCCAGTAAATTTAAACTAGGCTTTAAATGTATGTCATTGATTTGTTTTGTTTTTAACTTTTCCAGTTACTGGTATAATTGTTAAACTAGCTCCAGCTCTTATAAGAGACTGTGTGTTTCAGGAATGTTGACACCAAATTTGGGTTACTGAGCTTTCTCTGAAGTTAAATTAGTCTGGTTTTTAGGTTGGTGCAGCATGATAGAGATGAATTTCAAAGATGCGTTTGAATCCTTTGAAAGGCTTAAAAATGAGTCCAGGTGGTCCCAGTGCTACTATGCTTACTTAACAGCAGGTGAGTATGTTCAGTGCGTTGGATAAGTGATGAATGAGTGATGTGATAAGGTTTTGGCATTGTTTTGTTTTGGGAAACTTACTGGTGCACGTAGTGCCTTCCACGCTGCCTGCTGCTTATGCAGCTTTATGCCAGGCTTGACTTTATATAATGTACGTTTGCATGCATCCACATGCACGTGCATAAATACTTTCTTTCTCTCTTGCCTTCTAGCTGTAGATACAATTATGATTCTCAGTGTACTGACAGGTCTTATAACAGCCTGTTGCAAAGATTCAACAAATAAATCCTTAGAGGTTGAGTGGTGTTAGTTCCTTTAATGGGTGGGAAAAAGAAATATTGACTTGTTAATGATCATAGAGGGTACCAGGGAGAGTTAGTATTCACATGTGTGTTAAATCCCCAGTCTAGATACTTTCTGGAAATGAGTGTGTTTTTTTTTCCTGTGACTGTACGATAGCTAATCTTAACTTTTCCTGTTTCTTATCCAAGTAGTGTTACACACTTTTGTTTCTGTGTTCTTACAGTGTGTCAGGGAGCTACTGGTGATGTCAATGGTGCTCAGAATGTGTTCAAGGAAGTTCAGAAACTTTTCAAAAGAAAAAACAATCAGATTGAACAATTTTCAGTGAAAAAGGTTTGGTTTAGCATAGGCTAACTTGGTTTGGTACAGTAATTACACTTGGCAATTTTGTTGGATTCTTTACCAGTATTTGTTTGTGAAGGATGTATTTGTTTTCTGCTGTGTTGTTTCTGTAGAATTAGTGGGAAAGATTCAGGTGGAAAAACAATAGTGTCGTGCATTTTAATGACCTAGTAAATGAAATGTGAATTAGCTATTCACTTTACAACTGAAGTAATTATTAAAGATAAAAATACAACTGTAGTTGCTTTGGTAATTTTCCTTGTAGCTTTGCCTTTCTTACTCCTTTTTTATCTTGTCTTGTTTGTCAAAGTCTTAGTTCTTTTTGAAAGCTAGGAGTTGTCTAGGAAATATCTCCCAATGGATGATCTTGCAGATGTTACCGTTTCCGCATCCAGTCAGTATGTGCTTGGGATTGTGAAATACAATAAAAAAAATCAGGCTGCATACAAGGAAACTTTAATTTTGATCAATATGTAAGCCCTTAAATGAATTGGAAGATTTTACTTTTTAGTCTTAAACTCTTTAAGCTAAGTTACCACAGACTATATTTTCATAAAATTGTTGGATGTTTGCATGAAATAGTTAGAATTACTGTTTGTGATATATTGTTTGTAAATATTATGTTCCCTATAAAAGGACAGATGACAGACCTCCCTTCACTCTTTTCCCCTCTTTGCAGGCAGATAGATTTAGAAAACAAATGCCGACCAAAGAGCTCTGTGTCCTGGCATCCATTGAAGTATTGTACTTATGGAAAGCCCTTCCAAACTGTTCCCTCTCGAACTTACAGCATATGAGCCAAGGTATAATATGATTCCTTGATTTATTTATTTATTTATTTACTTTTTTAAGAGGTGTGCAGTTTTCTTCTGTTGTGTGGAGTAGCTGATTGTAGTAGCATGAAAATTTAAACCTGTGCGCATGTGTCACAACAAAACAGTCTGAGTAACAAAAGAATAATGACCCATTAAGATTTAGCTTAGTGCTTCATTTTTATGATTTTTATAGGTTTTTGGGAGAAGTTTAACTGCCTGCTGCATATAGCTGTGTTTTAATCAGTTGTGTTTGCCCATTGTTTAAAATGAAACAGTAGCGTGATAGTCTTGTTCAGTCACTAAGCAAAATTTAACTCATTTAAACCGAGCTACAAAATAAAAAAATCAAACTACCACTTTGTTTCTGCATTTCAGTTTTCTTCTAAGAGGAAATATGTACCTTGTAAGGTCATCTATGACATAAGCGTTCTATTTATCTTGGCTGCTGGGACCATTGTAGTGGTGAAAGGAGCATTTTATGGTTGCATCTGTTTTAGTCTCCAGATGTCTTTGGGTGTTTGTCACATGAAGCTTATGGTAGCAATGTTTATCATGAAGTTTTCAGTACTCCTCCCTCCTTCCAGTGAATGACCTAGTTTGCATTCTGCAGACAGTTTCAAATTATTACCTGCTCATTTAGAAAATAAAACAAAAAATGTCTGCCACCATCATACTTCCTTTTTTCTGTAATTGTGAAATTTTGGTGGTTGTACATGATTTTTGTGTTAAGCTAGAAAATTACCAGTCTGTAACTCGTGAGTCAGGACTATTTGTGGGGTTTTGTTCTATTTTTAGTTTAAGTTAACTTGACCATTTAAATTGCATGATAGCTGAGGGTTACATTCAGATTCCTAGTTTTCTAGTCCCAAAGATAATGGTGAAGGCTTTAAAATTAGGTTTACTTATGTAAAAATAAATCTCAGGATATTTTTGTCTGTCATTTGCCTTCAAAACAGTCACCTCTGGAGGTTGTAAGGAGTATGTACTTCTCTCCCACGCACTCAGAAGCAGTGTGGATTTTCCTTACATAAACTTCTAGCCAGTGGTTCACGTCTTGATGTGAAATAGCAGTGTAGGTTAAAATTCAGAGGCGTGCTTCTTGTAAGTATGACACTGACGGGTGTGTCTGCATCAGCAACCCGTGGTTGAAGATTTCTGCACAAGGAGAGTGTCACTGCTGCACCTTATGTCTGTCTCAAGAATGATGAGATGATAGGGGATTTTTTTTTTTTTTTTTAAGTTCGCTTCCTTTTCCCTTGAACAATTGCAGTGTAATTTGCTGGGGTGAGTTTCCAGGCTTTTCCTCGGGGCTAGAAGTTGACTTAAAAATAAAGGAATTAATATCCACATGTATATTTAAGTAAAATGCCAAGTAACTTGAGACTTGCAATACAAGCGACAGTTGACAGCCTTGTGTATTGTGTAATGTCCAAATACTTCATGCAGCCAACTCTTAGTTATTCATAGGTGGCTTATTGGTGTTGTGGATTAACTGTGTTGTGAATGCAGAGTTAGTCAAGACCTGGCAGGGTTTATGAGATGAGGCAGAATGTGAAGTTAAAGGAGCTCTGCTGCTCCAGGCACAGCAGCTCAGCTCCTGCTGAAGGGATGAAAAGCCCTGCAGGCCCCCCTGCACCCCAGCCTTTGTGGAGGCGACGGTGCAGACAAGTGCAAAGGGCTCCTCATGGAACTAGCCTTGATTTAACAGAGCTGGCGCTAATTAAGCTTGATCAAAATGGAGCCTGATTCATCTAGAGATGGCCAAGCGCATCATGATTCTGTTCTTCTTGGAAGCAGAGCACTACTCAGCTGAGGCACAGTCTGTCCCTGGACCAGCTAAGGTCTGGCAAATAAGCCTTATTCTCTTGTCAGCATTGAGAAATGTGATGCCAAAATACCCTAGTCTGCGTTTCTAAGTCCAGTACAGAGTTTTGTGTGTCTGTTGCTTGGCTTCAGTTCAGAACAGAACAGCCTTGTCTGAACTGCTTGCCCTGTGCACCTTGTAACTTGGACTATGTATTTTTCTGTCAGTATCTGCGACAAACCAGTTTCCCACAACACCAGAAGGAGGTGATTGTTTCTTCACTTTACCTTTTAGTGCATATTTCAATGACCAGTAGAGAAATGGATTCCCTTCCTGTAAGAAAGGAACGCATCAGCTGACTTTGACTTCAGCGCATTCATTCCTGTTAGGAATTGTTCTTATGAGAGACAGATTGCTTGATGAGTTTCATACAAAATGGTTGTATTTAAAAGAAACCAAATTACCTTGACTTATATTAATGTTACTAGCATCTCCTTTTTCCGGTTAAATTTAATCATCAGTTTAAAAGTCACTGTAGACCACAATTCTTGTCTAAAGAAGGATTTCAATCCGTATTGTTTGTTCACTGGAATCTTTTCATTCAGCTTGTCAGGATGTTGATGATTCGTCGGCTGTTGGTTTGAGGAATTTGCTTCTTGGTGCCATACACAAATGCTTAGGAAATTCAGAAGATGCTGTTCAGGTGAGTTGTTAAACAATAACTTACACCATTAATCCTATTTTTATGAGCTAATCTGTTAAACAGTGAGCATTGTTGAGTGTGTTAAACAAGCCATTAGTTTTCAGTGCTATTGATCATTCTGTTTTGTGAATTCCAACAGAGTATATCAGGTTCTTTTCAAATCTTCTGTTTAGTATGCCTTCGTTATAGTCTGTGTTGTAAAAGTAATTGGCTATGTTGAATGAACATGGTATCTAGAGTGCCTTGTTAGGAGCAAGAGTTATGGGGAAGCTGGGAAGAAGAATGGAAAAGTTCTTGACTCTGCTGTATTTCCTTTGTCCAACAAAGAAAATTCAACTTTAAAAAAAAACAACTTGGAGACTGACCTTTCAAAAGCATGGGTTTGTTGCTTCTCCTCCAGACCTGTTAGACACTGAGAGGTTTGCTTATTAGCACATACCAAAGAATAGTTTTGCCACCGCTCCAGGCTTTGATCTGTAGGCACAACTTTTTCTTTCCCCTCTGCCACCCCCCCGGAATGCAGTGCGCATAGGAAACAAGGGAGCCAATGCTGGCGTTAATTTTTTTTTTTTTTTTTCAGCTTCTCTCAGGCATATCTTAAGCAATTTGGGTACTTCATCTCTGATGTTAAAGTTCCTTGTTAGATCTAGTATTTTTTCAATAGGAAGTTGGAAAACTCTTGAAACAGTCAATATACTGCTTGGTAAAAATCCAAATAAAGAGTTTTGCTGTGATACAGTAGTGACAGTGAAAACCTCTGGGTCCTTGCTTAAAGAATCTTTACCGTTAGAAACTTTTTGTTTTCTCGTTTTAGCTTTGGGCTAATTTCTAGCGCTTAATGTTGAATGGTACTTCTGGATTTTTTTAATGTATCAGACAGTCAATTTCAGTGTATTACTGTAATTTTTTTGTTTTCTTTAATTGTTGTAGTTCTTTCAGCGGGCTGCTAAAGATGAACTGTGTCGTCAAAACAACTTATACGTCCAGCCATACGCTTGCTATGAACTTGGCTGTCTTCTGTTAGACAACCCAGAGGTAATAGCATAACCTGTTTTTAAATGCCTAAAATTAGGATGGGGAGTCAACATAGCCCTATACAAACAATTAAACAAAGTTTATAGGTGATAATGTATGTCAAGTTTTAAAATCTGTTTTATGTCTACTGTAGAGAAATGCATTACTTTGATTTTCTTCAAACCAAGAAATGCAATGTGTTTTAGATAACTTCGTCTTAATTTTTCAGTATCAGGAGCTATAAGGACGTTCTGAGGAGCTTAGTTATCTGTTGGTAACACTGCAATGACTTGTTTTGTCGTTACTGGGTTTTATTTTTACATAAAACACGGAGCCTGAGACTCTCTGGGATTCTTCAGGGCTGCTGTTACGTTCCTGAACCATTAGTGGTGTATTTCTCTAGCAGTAAAATGAAGATGTCTGCAAACCTACAGCAAGCAGTAAAGCAAGAATTTTGAGGATTGTCGCACCACCTTGTTCTGATTATTATTCAGTACTTCACTCCAAAAAGCACCACATAGACCTCACTTTTCAGCTCTCTGATCATGCAACGATGCCCATTTTTTCGTACGTGCCTTGCAGAAACAGTATATAGAGGGTACTGGTCAACGGCTCAGTGTTCTAGATGGAGATTGCTGACAAGTGGTGTCCCTCAGGAGTCCATACTGGGACCAGTATTGTGTAATATCTTCATCAATGACATAGCGGGATCAAGTGCACCCTCGGCAAGTCTGCAGACACCACCAAGCTGATTGGTGTGGTTGACACACCAGAAGGACAAGCTGGAGAAGTGGGCCTGTGTGAACCTCAGGAGGTTCAGCAAGGCCAAGTGCAAGGTCCTGCACCTGGGTCGGGGCAACCCCTAGTATCAATACAGGCTGAGGGATGAAGGGATTGAGAACAGCCCTATGGAGAGAAGGACTTGGGAGTACTGGTGGACGAAAAGCTGGACAAGAGCCACCAGTGTGCACTCACAGCCCAGAAGACCAGCCATGTCCTGGGCTGCATCAAAAGCACCGCAGCCAGCAGGGACAGGGAGGTTGTTGTGATGGGCTGCATCAAAAGCACCGCGGCCAGCAGGTCAAGGGAGGTGATTCTGCCCCTCTACTCTGCTCTGGTGAGACCCTAACTGGAGTCCTGCACCCAGCTCTGGCGCCCTCAGCACAGGAAGGATGTGGACCTGTTGGAGTGGGTCCAGAGGAGGGTGACAAAGATGATCAGAGGGCTGGAGCACCTCTCCTGTGAGGACAGGCTGAGAGAGCTGGGGCTGTTCAGCCTGGAGAAGAGAAGGCTCCAGGGATTGCTGATTGTGGCCTTTCAGTACTTAAAAGAGGCTTATAAGAAAGGTGGGAACAAACTTTTTAGCAGTGCCTGTAGTGACAGGACAAGGTGTAATATTTTTAAACTAAAAGAGATTTGGACTAGATAGAAGGAAGAAGTTTTTCGTAGTGAGGGTGGTGAAACGTTGGCACAGGGTGCCCAGAGAGGTGGTCGATGCCCCATCCCTGGAAACATTCAAGGCCAGGTTGGACGGGACTCTGAGCAGCCTGGTCTAGTGGAAGATGTCCCTATTAATTGCGGGGGGGTTGGACTAGATGGCCTTTAAAGGTCCCTTCCAGACGAAACTATTGTATGATGTGTAAATACTGGGGTATGGAAATACTTCTGTCTCCCCTGAAGACACAGAGACCTCTCTCCCCATTTGCTTGCCTTAGTGTTCCTGCTGCTGGTGACAGCAGAGGCCTGGCAAGAATGCCTTGGGTGGGCAGGGATTTGTTTGTCTGCAGGTGGCATTTAGTGTGGTGAATGTCTAGGATCCTTTTCTTACATTTTTAATTTGCTGTTGGATGCTGTTCAGAGAGTACCTGTAGTTATCCTCTCCAGGTAAAATTTGGTGCCTTCCTAAAATAGCTCCCATGTTCTTGTATCATACCTATATTTGGAACCATATGGTGTTTGTCAAAAGTCCTTTTACTTCGGGATTATTTCTCCCCACTCTTAGGACTGCTAACTTCCGAATCTCACGTATCAGTGCATCTTGGAAGCTTAGCTGTACTGAGGGCACTCGTACTATTCCATTGCAGGGCATGTAGAAGTAAAGTTATTTCAGTCATTTAGATTCTGTTAAAGCTGAATGTGTTGGCATTTGGGCTTTCACCCTGAGCAGTGAGGTTTTTGTTGTTCAGGATGAAGAGAAAAATAATCCACCTGGCTTTCAGACTGTCCAAACGGCTTGGTGGTTGATACATTTGATCATTCGGGTCTTTGCATATACCCTGCCTCCTAGGGAGCCAGGAGAATCATAAACTAGGGCAATTTTGCCACCACTCTTGGTATTGTTTCCCTCCTCAGACATGTAACACTGCTGCTTGGAGTTTATGCCACTTTACATAGTGCTTCCTGAATTGGATTGCAAGTTAGGGAAGCGGTTACAGGGTAATGAGTTTAACCCCCAAGTCATTGTATGTGGTGTATAAAGTAGTTGAGCTGACAGTAGCTCGTATTCTGAAGATTCTGTTTTCAGTTGCTTTTAATCATGTCGGATTTAATCATCTGAGCTGAACCTTCTCCTTAAAGCGTGAAGGAAAGGAAATCTTTCAGTAAAAATCAAAAGAATTTTCTAATTTTGTCCTTTGTCATGATAGTAAAGATAATTTGTTCTTTTTTGAAAATCCTGCTGCCCTACAACTTAGAAGTGGGCCTTGAAGCTTGCTAAGGGAGATATGAGTCCAGTAATGTTCCTGCTGCCTTTTTGTTGGGTGTGTGAGGACTGGACAAGCCTCGGCTTGTAGCTGTACTGAGACGCTGTGGTAGCGCTTAGGATGTGGAGGACACGCAGGAAACTCCCTCTTGTTGCACTCAGACAATGAGGAGGTAAATGATGCTTGACTTGATTAAAGTGGGGTGGGGCGGGGAAAAGCAAGAGCTGGAATTAGAGGTGAGTGGATGCTGTGCATAGAAAATTACTTTTGCTCGCCGAAGTGTCATGTGAGAGCTCTATAATGGTTAAGAAAGAGAAGGGAGTAGGATTTTATAAATCCATTTATCTGAGAAGCTGATCGTTTTAAAGACCAGAGCAACAGACGTAGATAGGAATATGCCTTTTAGTATAAAAAGCATGCAGTTATTAAATGTACTTTGCTTTAAAATAACTCATACTTACATGTTTCATTTACCATGTCATCTGAAACATCTTTGTATTTTAAGCTTGGTTCTAATCAAGTTCTTTAAGATTTTAATATGTTTACATCAAGAACTTTACAGATTTATTTTGTAGCTGTCTTAGACACTGAATGTAATTTAACCCATATAAATGCATATGTTTGGATTCAGATATATTTGAATAAGAAAATGTAATTTTTCTGTCTCTTATCAGGCAGTTGATTAATTATTTGTAAGGCTTATAATAAAAATGTACTGTGATAAGAAATGAAAAATGAGCTTTTGAGTAGTAAACATTAATCTGAAAATACGTATATTTTTCCTTAAGGTTTGAAATTGAGATTTCTGAAACAACTTTTTAATGCTTAAAATCCGTTAACTTGTTTTGTAAATAAATGGCTTAAACTTCTGTTAAGAAACAAAAATTACTCTGCTGATCAGTTAGTCGTTTATCTGTAGCCTCGTGTGTTTCCGTGTGCACTGCTGTAGCTCACCATCAGCAGTAGCAACTTGCATTTAAAGCTGTAATTTCTCCTTTTCTGTAGAAGACTAGAAGTACGTAATACTGCATAGCTTGGGTGCCTCATTAGATCTCTAGTTTCCTAATTCTGAGAGGGTTTTGTCTGCTCAGTACTTTGTTTTTCGAGATAGAAATGCTATTCTGGGCTGATCAGACCATACACTTAAGGTATTTTCTGTAACATTTCCAGTACATTTCTAATACAATGTTTGTCTTTTTGTAGACTGTGCCGAGAGGCAAAACTTTACTTCTCCAAGCCAAGGTAAAAACTAAGACACTTTCAAATTTATCTTTCTGAGATGAGGGCATTTGAGAGGTTGTGGCTTTGGGGGTTTGGGGCAGGGGGAGAGCGCATGTTAAGTGTCGGCATCGCTCACCTATAATCTACAACACTATCATGTAGATATACATTAATGTATGTGATGCACATTTATGTATGTTATATAGATATGTATTTCTAGGTCAGTCATAGCACAGAGCCCTCATTAGTGACCTCTCCTGGAGTGTAAGAACCTTGCTAAGTTTTTCAACTAAGATTTGGGTAAAAAAAGCTTGAAAAGACTCCTTGTCTGTTGCAACTGGTTCCTGCCTTGGGCATGCTGGGATTTCCTAGAGCTTTTGGGCTTGCGGATCTTTCCAGGTGCTGTTCACATACATGGGTTCCAAGCAGTGTGTTGGAAATGGAAGCTTTCTGCTCTGTACCAACTTGGAATTTCTGTAGTTCTGTTGCTTTGGGTAATGCGGGGATATTGCAACACGCAGTCTCCAGTTCACCTGTTTTCTTCGGTCTCATTTGTAACACGACTTCTTAAGCATTAGTAGTAAAATTACCTTCACATCCTAAAATGAAGGAAGCTAATAGTTATATGCTTTTTTTGTTTCCCCCCTCAGGAGGAATTTACTGGCTATGACTTTGAGAACAGATTGCACGTCCGCATACACGCAGCCTTAGCCTCTCTAAGGGAAGTAGTTCCACAGTGACGGACGGGAAGTCTTGTTATCCTTTCCCACAGTTTCTGCACTTTAAGATGAAGCAGAAGAAAAAGCTGTTGGGAAGACCAGCTTTTCTTCTGAAAACCACTTGTGCCAGGGACACTTTCCTAGTATGGTCAGAGTTGGTATGGCTTAGTAAAACATTACAGTTCTAACGAAAAGTAAATCAACCAGGAAGAAGGTTAAGTGACCTTGTGTTTTTAACTCTTCAGTTTTTATTTTATTTAAACCAAGCTGAACACAATTACTTGTAACTCTGTAGGTGAGCCTAAATAAGCACACATGATTTACTTCAACAATATTAGCAGGTGTGATTTTTATCTTTTAAAATAGATCTAGATCTAAAATACACCAAGAGGAGCACTTCTGTTTTGATTGGAATAATACAGTGAAAGTAATGGGTGTAAATGCTGAAATTGGGAATGGGCAGAACACTTTTTTTTCTTCAAGCATTAGCCAATACACAAGAGGAGGAAAACTGTTCACCAACAAAAAGATAATACTGACTTCAGTGGCTTATGTCAGTGACTTCATGATGATTAACTGTGATTTTTAAACCTCGCATCTCCTTCCATTCTTCATTCCTTCCCTCCCAACCCAGCTTATACTTGTGATATAAATTATGCCAGTATTTAGGATCTCTGCTTCTGGTACATTCCAGCTAAATACTTACTTTGTTTAACATGCAATTACAGTATGGGCAGTTTTTACTTCTGCTCTAAATATTCCAAATATTATGTTAAAATACATAGGTCAGATACAGTAATTTTACATATTTTTCATTCAAGCTGCTGAATCTGTATAGCAGTGACCTTTAAAGGTGTTAAAAAGAACCACCAAACAAAAAACCAGACCAAAAATCTACTTTGGTAGTTATATCAATACTACAATATCCTGTGTCTCTATATGGTATTCCAAACCTGTGGCATTAAGAGATTGAAATACCTCAGAGAGATTAAAACTTTTATCATGACCATATAATTTTTAACACTTGGCCATCTGTGTGCTCATCTGTAGCTTTTTTACTTTAGCCTGTAATATGTAGTATCTCCTTATGTTTTATATTCAGTTAATATCATAGTCTAGGAAAGTAAATATTTTTTTAAAGAAACTTACGAATGGAAATCTGACCAGGAAGTTAGTTAAATTCTGTTACTTTGCAAAGCTAAGAAAACCGGATATCCTTGGAAACAGTTATCCAAAAGCCTTATATTTACTTTGGTCAGGTTGCCTTAAGCAGTTCCTTAGCTTACATGTTTTTTTTATTTTCTTACCTTTTTGTAGAATATGTTGCCAAAGTTTTAGACGTTGCCCACACCTAACCTTCATTGATTTGCTTTTGAAGTTGCATCTAAAGCAAGACTGATGTGGAGGAGAAGAGTAATATCCTATTTGGTAGGCCAAATGAAACAGTTGAGACACTTCTATTTCTCTCTAGAAATACACAGTTCCTGCTATGAAAGGCATTCCTAGAGCAGTTAAACACTTTTGTTGCAGTTCCTGAAGGAGAGGAGAGACTTTTAAAAAAGCAGTTTTATTTTTCTATGATCTAGGCGTGTTACAGATCGTACACTGGTTTTTTTTAATTAAAATTTAACAGTAATATTGAGTCACAAAAGAGTGTTGAACTTTATTTGGTCAATCCGAATAAGTACTGACTAGAAAACAGTACACTGTGTAGTAGTAACTACTTAGAATTCAAATCATGATTTTAAAAATGGGATTTAATGTACTTGAAATCTTATTTTGTCCTATCTGACTTCTAACGTTTTGCAGTGAGAGAGGCAATCCGTTCTGGGTAAACGGCTAGAAATGGTACAGTTACTGACAAAACTCATTTTAAATACACTGCTTAAATATGATGTGAGACTAGGCTGTTCAGGACACAAAGCACCTGCATGTGATGTGTGTTGGGATATCTAGGGTCTACATGCTTGGAGGTAGCTAGCAAATTGTAGTAAATGTACTATAAGGCCTGTTGTTCGCACCAGGCCAGGAGTGGGTATGGAAAGACACTATATATTCATATAACAGTTTAACTCTGTGCAAATTGCAGCTTTTCTGTGGATTTAGCGAATCATCACTGAAATAGAACTCTGTGTTAATTTTTTTTTCCCTCCCCTCGTAGGAGAATCTCCTACATTGTAAATGTCAAAATTATTTTTTATGTTAGATTGTGCCTGTGATGAGAAAAACTTCAACTGTATTTTGTGTAAACTGGTAAGTTTTTATACTTTGGAACTCGGAGGCATGGTCTAATAGCAATAATGGAAGATGCATCTTGCTAGTTAATATGTTAAGACTATCTTTATGGGGTCAGGTATTTTTGTTGATGTTGATGCAGTTTTTATCTCAATATGACTCATTTCAAATAAATAACTATGATTTTTAGGTGTCACAAAGTGGCATATTTATTGTGATGTACTGTAAATGTTGTTAATTTACAGAACTTGCACTTTTATATTTCTGAGTAAAATTAAAAGAAACGTGGACATGAGTTTTGTTCCCTTGCTGCTCAGATTTTGTCTTTTAGTTGGTGGCCTCCTGAACAAGATGATATCAAGTATTGGGAAAACTTCTGGGATGTCAAGTGACTCTGTAACAAAGTTTTCTAGTCAGCAATTACCTCAGCCTTTGTTCTTCCAGTATAAATATAGTCTCCTGGTTTAGAAAGTGAGTTACATGTGTCATGTTGAGATCAACCGTAGAGTGAACAAGCTTTAAGATACGTTTTTAAGCCATCAAATTTACTTGTTATCCATGAAAGAAAGAGAACGACACACAATTGTATTTGTTGTATTCCTACACCTTTGAAAAATGTTTCTAATTTACTCTAAAGCAAGCACTTTAATTTCTTCTCTCTCTGACTTTGAATGCTTGTTTCATATCCTAGTTATGCTTTATTCTGAAATAAAACTCCCCAAATGTTGTATCAAATTGCTCTTCAGTTTACAACAATCTGATTGTCTTTCCAACAACTGATTGCACTGGTGTTTAAAAGTCGCTGTGTAAGCACCTGAAGCTTGAGCCGGCGCTGGGCTGCTGAAGGGCCGCGCGCGGTGTTGCAGGGCTGCTGGTCGAGCCGGTCGCTGGAGCAGAGCCTGGGTAGCCTGTACACAGCACTCGGATTCCCGCTCCAGGCAGCAGTACAAAACACTAACGGTGGTAGCAGCCATGCTCATGAAAAATTACGCAATCGCAAACAAATATCATTAAAGCTAGCGTTAAGAATTAAGTTGATACTTGGCTGTATCTGTTAAGGGCGTTGGGCAGGCAGTGGCATCTGGGCAGGGCAGCTGTCCTTGGCTCCGCAGGCAGCCTGCGGCTCGAATGGTGGGCTCCACTGGACCGGCTTCAGGAGTAACGAGTACAGGTATGTTGGCTGAAATCCGTCATCATGAAGGAGCTGTACAGCAAATTATTTTATATAAATTAAGACTTTAGGAAAAAAAAAGGCAGGACTGGGGAATTGTTTCTCTGCTAATTACAGTTTGAGTAGATGCTTATACAGTATTGTCTTGCATTCTAATGTTTTGAGGTGAGCTAGAAAATATTGATTAACGAAAAATCTGGAAAAGATGACTTGCAGAAGATGGAAATATGGCTAAATCTGGTTCATTTTGTCCAAAGAACAATTAAAGTAACAATTGAAGTACAGTATTCTGTACAGATATTTGGAAAGCATGGGAACCTGCTGTATTTACTCTGAATTATCCATATCTGTATACAATACTCTTAATTTATGCCAAAGCAAATTCTTGTATGAAATCAGCTGGTGTACGGGATGCACTGGAAAAGAGAGAGGTATTTTACGAAAGGCCTACCTTTATCACAGTGCTGCAAATCTGTGTTCTCCCTGAGCTTTGAAACTTGTTCAGCTCTGATCCATTATAAAATTGTGGCATTGTTAATAGATTGCAAAAAGTGATTTCCCTGCCCCTGACAGGTGCATGCTCAAGGTTTCCCTTGATGGAGTTGCACTTCAATATTGTACTGTTTATTACCCCTTCCATCCTTGTAGGGTTTTTTTTGTCGCTGGCATTGCACACATCTCCAGAGTGCTTGCAGAAGGGACCCCATTACAAGCAAATGAGGTGCAGAAGGTTGGTGTGGTGAGCTGCTGTGGAAGGTCAGCACCTGAAGGGATCCAGTCCCCTGACTCTTCTAAGCCCAGAGATGTCCAGCTTTGGTTTCCCAGAGGCGCTTTGGCTGTGTCGGATGCTGTGTTCTTCGCCGTGTCTCGATGTGGGCATTATTAAGAATCTTCAGGTCACCTCTTGGTGTTCTTGTGCGTGAGCAAATCCAAATGAGATGGTAAGAAAGTCAACTTGAGGTGGGCTTTCTAGAGTTCAGCACTAAACTGTTTCTATTTCTCACCACATTTTTTTAATGTAAGCTCAGGCTTCGAAACTGGACCCAGCATAGGTTACCAGGGTAGGTGCATATTACAGCTGCCTACTGCCTTCCTGCTTCTACTCGGAACCTCCTTGTTTAATTACCCAAGATTTTCATGATCTGTATAGTCGCTGTGTTTTAACCAGTGTGTTTTAGCCACGGGGAGTTCCTGTTCAGTTGTCTAACCGTCACCCTTGTTTTTTCATTGCTGCTTTTTCAAAAATGCTGTTTATGTCTTGATGTGACTTCTTCCATGATGATGTTTCACTGGACAATTGGATCGAGTAATCTGTTGAGTTTTGCGAGATTGGCTGGTCCTCAGTCTTTTTCAGTCATTTTTTGGCAAGCTGTGCTTACCTACAGAAGATGCCCAGAAAGGCTCGCAGGTGAAGAGGTTAAAAGAAAAAAGGCTGTTAAGAGTTGAATATTTTGAGGGGGGAGGGAGGAGAGAGAGATTGTTAAACCTGGCTGAGCAGATCCATTTGGGTAACAAACACCTGCCAGTCTGTGACTAAAGGCAGTATGTTTATTGTATTGAAAAAAGATAACTGTGCTGCTGGGACATACGCTTCTCTCCACAGGTGTCATCGTTGCAAAGGCCCTACGAAGAGGAAGACAAAGAGAGTCTGAGATATGGCTAAAGACATCTTAAATAAAAACAGTGTTTTGTGCCTTTGGTAGGAAAAGCAACAAGGTATTCATGGAGATTTTTGTAGATGAATGCAAACTCTCACTTAGAATTCTACTGGAGTTTCTGGCAGAGAGAAACATAAAGATGGTGCTTGCAAAAAAATGCAAGTCCTCCTCTGGCTATTTAGCTGAAGCTTTGACAAAGATCTAAAGTTTAAAAAAAACCAAAACCAAACCCCCCCCCCCGCTGACCCCCACCCCCCCCTCCAACCAGTGTGATACATTAGCCTGTTGTAAACTGTCTAACGAAGAATTAAGGAATGAACTGATCCTGCTTTTGGCAGAAGCATAAGGCTTATCTGGGACCTTGATTTACTGAATGTCTGTCCCTTAACTAATTTCTGTCCTGTAAGATTTTTAGCATTGTCTGGAAGCCATTGCTGCTGCAGGTGGGGCAAAGGATGGCAGGGGAAGGTCATCGCCTTCGGCTGGGCGAACTGCTCTTCGGCTGGCAGGCGCTGCGGTTTGCGGCCAAAGGGCAGCCTGTGTTGGTAGGGCAGCCGGTGCACTTTGGGCAACAGATTTGGTCAAGATGGCTTCCAAAAGCGGCATCCAAGTTCCAGCACAGTGAATTAGTTTCCAGATGTATTTTTTCCCTATATGTTGCTCTTAAGTTTCAGACAGACGCACTTTTATGTTAGGGGCTGAATGCTTTTCAAATATTTGAGGAGGTTTATGCTTCTGTTCCGTTAACTCTGGTAATAATTTTTTTCTGTGCTTTATGACATCTGTACTTGAATATCTTTCAAGCTTTTGCTGCGCAGAGCTTTGCATACCTAGAATTTTGAGAGTTGCACATAACTATGTTTCATGCCTTTGTGAAGTCCTGTTGCTTCCATATGTTTTTCCGTACAGAAATCTAGACTCCAGAAACTGTATATTTTCTAGTCCTCATATATAATCTTGAAGTATGTCTTGTTCTTTCCATGGTAAAGCTATTGGTCCTAGTTTTGTAAGTCATAGCATATTCATAGTTAACTTTTTAATATTGTGGTCTGTGTTGTTGCTATCCAGGACTGATGAGCTAGCGTGAGAAGTTTTCTTAATGAGAAATTACTTTCTAAGGATTCTTTTATGGAAGAAGCATTTTGTGGTGAGTTTACCATTAACATACTTGCCAGTGAACTAACTTGAAAGTGATATAATATTCTGTTAGTTTTGAATGAACTATTATGAATATGTTAATTTATTAAGGGAAGCTATTGTAGATGGTCTAACTGCTTTAGCAGCAATAACGCTGGAGTCTTAAATCTTCAGTGCTGCTGGGACTCCCCTCAGGTTTTTGTAGGGATGCAGACCTGCAGGAACGCAAGGGCAGGTAGGTAGGGGATGGTTTTCCAACTTGGATGAAAACTGCTCTGTAGCGTTGTTGGTGAATACAAGTTTTTATCTCGCAGCAGACTCCTGAGCATGGCTTGCCCCCATGATTGTCCTCCCTTTGTGATCCTCAGCAACCCAGTCAGCGGTAACCTTGAAAATATGGCAGTATTACCATCACCTTTTTTTGTCCTTGTTTTGTTGGAAGAGAAAACGATCTTCGGTGCATCCACTGGAAATGTGTACTGGAAAGCAAAACCCTGGGGCTGTTGAGGTTTGTTCCAAGTTTTGCCCTTGCAATAGTAGGGTTCCGCAATGTGAGTGGAGCCGTATGAAGGAATTATCTGGTTCCCCGGTGGGTGGAGACGTCGCAGTCCCCAGCTGTTTGCTCTGAGCCCCTGCCAGAGGCCACCACAGGACATCACTTCCCAGGCGCTGTGTTTTGCCATCTGTTAGCGGGGTTTAAGTCCCTCGGGTGTTATGCGTCACCCATCTTACAGAGCCAGGCTGTGAACGGGGGGTGGCTCTGGGCCCCCACCCCCCCCACCACGGCTGGCAGGGGGGGGGCAGGGGGGCGGCCGGCGCCTCCCCACCTTTCCCACGTAGGGCGGGAGGCCGGGACCGGGTGAGAGCCAGTGCTGGGGGGATGGAGGGGGAGGACGAAGTGTCCCCTAAACTCTTTGCTTGAACACAGATGGCTGTCGGGGCCCATCGGTGGGTGCTTTGGTGGGTTTTATGTTAAAAAGAGGGATTTGGGGGTGTGGGTTTGAATTCACATTGTGGTTCCCTAGCTGGTTGCGCCCCCTGACCGTGCCTCCTGCTGCCTAAAGGTGCGGAGGGGGGGTAAAGGAAGTGCAAATGGTGAGCACCCCCTTTGAGTTTAAGGAGTGTTCGGGAAGGGGTGGAGGAGGAGGAGGAGGAGGGTTATTGATGGTGTAGGAAGGGATGAGCAGCTGCGACCCCGCTGCCGACGTTCGACCCTTCACACTGGCGCGGGGCAGGCACTCAGCTGAGGGGTTCTGTGTTTGCGCAGATGGGAAACGGTGAGGTGCCGTGAGCGGGCGAAGATGCAGTCCTTGAAGATCAGGCTGGTTGTCTTGTGCGGCCTCAAGGCCCTGCTTGAGGGGGTGAGCCGGGCCATCGTGGAAAGCAACCCGGATGACATTGCCGAGTTTTTCGCTCTCTGTTTGCAAGAGCTCATCGCCTTTCGGAAAGGTCTGTTCCTGCCGGTGCTCCGTCTGAAGAGCTGAGCTCTTTGGGAGCACTGTCCCACTCCAGCTTAATTTCTGCTTCTGTTTTCAGGGCATCCAAATCTGGATGTGACAGAACTGGTTGAAAAGTTTGAGTTCATTAGTGGTAAGATAGTTGCTGTTTGTTCTTTTGAGATATTTTGAGAAAATGTTCCAACCCAAATGGACACAAGCAGTTTTCACTTGCCGCAGGCTGCATCCCATCCCTATGTAGCCATGTGAGAGAGGCATACAGGCTCTGAGCTACTGAAAAGGCAGGCATCTTCAGAAAGCACTTGCTTCTGTTTAATGTGGGAAGAAATAGTTCCCTGGATGCTGTACTTTCTCCTGGTGTATAAAGGAGAGCCTGGATGCCTTTGGTCATTTTAATTTTAAGATATCGCAGTGCAGTTTATCACCCCCTAAGCAGATGGTGACTTTACACTTACTTATCCTGTGCAAATAGAATCATAGGTTGGAAAAGATCTCTAAGACCATCCAGTCCAACCATTCACCCAACACCACCATGCCTACTAAATCATATTCCAAAGTGCCACATCCACACGTTTTTTAAACACCTCCAGGGCTGGGGACTACACCACCTCCCTGGGCAGCCTGTTCCAGTGCCTGATCACTTTTTCAGTAAAGAAATTTTTCCTAATATCCAATCTAAACCTCCTCTGGCACAACTTCAGGCCATTGCCTTTTGTCCTATTGCTAGTTACCTGGGAGAAGAGACCAACACCTGCCTCACTACAACCTCCTTTCAGGTAGTTGTAGAGAGCGATAAGGTCTCAGCCTCCTCTTCTCCAGACCGAACAGCCCCAGCTCCCTTGGCCATTCCTCAAAAGGCTTGTTCTCTAGACCCTTTACCAGCCTTGTTGCCCTTCTCTGGACACGCTCCAGTACCTCAATGTCCTTCTTGTAGTGAGGGGCCCAAAACTGAACACAGTACTCCAGGTCTCACCAGTGCTGAATACAGGGGGACGATCACCTCCATACTCCTGCTGGCCACACTATACCTGATACAAGCCAGGATGCCATTGGCCACCTGGGCACACTGCTGGCTCGTGTTCAGCCGGCTGTTGACCACCACCCCAAGGTCTTTTTCCTCCAGGCAGCTCTCCAGCCACTCCTCCCCAAGCCTGTAGAGTTGCATGGGGTGGTTGTGACCCAAGTGCAGGACCTGGCACTTGGCCTTGTTGAACCTCATACAGTTGGCCTCGGCCCATCGATCCGGCCTATCCGGATCCCTCTGGAGGGCCTTCCTACTCTCAAGCAGATCAACACTCCCACCCAGCTTGGTGTCATCTGCAAACTTACTGAGGGAGCACTCAATTCCCTCAGCTATTGTATCTCTTTGTTTATAAAAAGATAGTTTAGTTCTGCACGATGCCGATTCCTTTGGGAAGTGCTGGGAGCTTTCGGCTGCTCCTTGGGTTTGGCTGTAAGGGCTGGAATGCATGGTGCCACAGGAAGGTTGCGTGGGAGCAGTGATACGGGTGCACTGTCTAGCCCGCAGCCTGTTTGTATCTGCCCCACTGGTTGGGGTCTCCGTTGTCTGGTTACTGCATCAGCAGCTTCAAATATCCCCTTTATTCAAAAAGGCCACCACAGCTTGGTTCCAAGTTACCCTGGAACCGGCCAGCACTTGAGACAGTCTTGGTCTGTGGACTGAGAGCTGTACGCTAAGGTCATTACAGCAATGGAGGGGAGCACCAGCTGTGAAGGGAAAGTGCTACTATCATTCCTAGCTTAGGATCTCCTCTAGGAAAGCAAACCGCCTCGGATTTCAGCACTTGAAGCAGTTTTTTTGTAAAATGACTGGTGGATGTTGCAGTATGACTTGAAGTATCATCGAAGTCTGAATTTTGGTGCATTTGGAAATGTTGCATTAGTGATATCACACAGCGATTTTTGCATAACCATGGAATCTCAGAATGGTTTGAGCTGGGACTTTTAAAGATCTAGTCCAACCCCCCTGCCATGGGCACCTTCCACTAGACCAGGCTGCTCAAAGCCCCATCCAACCTGACCTTGGACACTGCCAGGGAGGGGACATCCACAGCTTCTCTGGGCAACCTGTGCCAGGGCCTCACCACCCTCACTGTAAAAAAAAAAAACCAAAGAAAAAAAAAAAGAAAAAAAAAAAGCCTGATATCTAATCTAAATCTTCGCTCTTTTAGTTTAAAAGTGTTGCTCCTTGTCCTGTCAGTGCAGGCCCTGGTAAAAAGTCTTTCTCTGTCTTTTCTTAAAGCCCCCTTCTGCTCCTGTGCCTGTTTTACATATTGGCCAACGCTTGCTGATCATGATAGAAACCAGACCTTTTGGTTTGTTGGGTTTTTTCCCAATGCTGAGGGTTTTATTAACCATGTGATGGAGCACTGTTTTGATTCTTTGAGTAATCTCGTGTGTTCCTCCCTTGATAACTAATCTAGAAGCCATTTTTCACTCTAAGATTTGTTTGTGACTTGCCCTGTTCTTCATTTGGATACCTGTTAGTTCAACTAATCAGGTTCTTTAGGGAGCTGAAGTGTCACCATCTGTGTATCTGAAATAACTTGCGTGGATCCAAAGAGTTCTGAGGTGTTGCAAAGAGGAGCTGGAGTCTTCTAGCTGGCTTATCTGATCTGCTTGATGTAAAAGGTTTTATCTTTCAACCCTAAGTGTAGCAATGTTTGTGGGCAGTAGGTAAGAAGGTAGCCATCACTGCAGGAACGTGAATGCAGTTAAGGCTTCCTAGGTTTTGAAGTGGTACTACTGGTCTCTGAATTTCTTTTTCCCCTTTATCAATGACAAGCAGCAAACCCCCTTCTTGAATTATTCCACCTCTGCATCCTGGGAAGCCTCATAAATGTGTTGTAGAGCATCTAATTGAGTGGATGCTGAAATTGCTCTCAATTTTATTTAAATGGAAACAGTTGCTCATTCATTGCCATTATGTGCTTTTTACCTTGCAGAAAATGGGAATGAGGGACCGGAAGAGACGACATCAGACTGCACAGATACTCTGTTTTCTGGGGAGCCCAAGCAAAGGGACAAGTGTACTGACACAGAGGAAGACCAGCTCCTTGAAGAACCTGATATTCAGTATAGCTCCAAAGAAACTCAACACCCATCAATTGCCAGTTTCATTGCAGAAAGCAAATCCCCCCCTGGATCTGATGGAGCTTTATACCCCGAGGGACCTGAGCTGGTGTACGTCCCTGCTGAGCTCACACAGCTTGCTGCCCACGCGCTAGGTAACAGGGATGATTCGCTTTATTCTGTGAGGGATATGGCAACCAGTGTGCAGACTCTTTACGAAGACTCTCAGACCTCAGAGAATGAATTTACACCGGTAGAAGGTGCTGCTGAAGATGCTTCTGCTGTCCCAGCAGCTGAGGCTTCTGCAGAGGCTCTTGGGTCATAACCAGGAGTGCAGAGCCAGTCCTCCATAGCTGGAGAACTAGGCCCCTCAGACAGCCAGGCTGATGTCTCGACAAATGATGTAAATCAAGCTTCCTCGGTCCCCTTGTGGGAAGAACCATCACCACCACCTCTTTTATCACCTCCATCACCTGCTCCTAAAGGTCCATTGCAGGCTGTGCCTTCCTGCAGTGAAGCTGAGGTTACCTTAACCACTGAGGCTGTATCACTGTGGTGGGATGGCGAGCCGATTGTGGATGCAGACGCTCCACCTTACGTAGAGCAGTTTCCCCAGAAAATAATCATTCCCTTTGTAGACCAAGCAGCTTATCTGTTAAAGAGTGAGCAGCCATTAAATGAAAGCCAGGGCTCAAGTGTGACAACCTTAGGTCCGTCTGCTGATGATTTAGCGTGCCTTCCCGAGAGAGCAGAATCTGCAGCACCAGTGGAATCTGCTGAGCAAGTCTGTGTCTTGTCAGGTAAGAAAGTCTGGGTCTCTGTGTCACCTTCCTGCTCCAGCTTCCAGCTCTGCAGCTTCATCAGTGGTCATTAAATGGAAAAGCACCTATGCCAGTGCAACGCAGGGTAGAGATGACTGCTACGAAGCTACTGTACCAACACAGCCTACTTGTCCCCAGTGCACGTGTTAGATCTCTCTGCTGCCTGTTCCAAGAGGTGTGGCTAGCTCTGGGCAGGACTCTTGCAGGCAAATACGTGGATAAGAGTGATGGGAAGGTGCCCACTCATGCCAAATGGTCTTGCTCAAAACAAGCCCTATTTTCTGAAGCAGGTGTTAGAGACGGAAGATGTAATACATGTGCCCTGTGGCTCGAGAGAGGTGACCAGTTGGAGCCCTGGTTTTGAGTCTCCTCCCCTGAAAGATCTCATATTCCAGTACTGACCTAGGGGGTTTTCCATCATGAAAAAAAATGGTGGTGGTGGTCGCCTGTGCTCAGAAATGGTGGTGGTTGCCTGTGTTGTCTGGAGCTTGGTGAATTTCTACAGCTGGGCTGAGTGGGCCAAGCAGCCAAGCACTGGTCATCGGTTCCACAAGCAGCAACAGAGGTGGTGCTCATCTTGCTTGGCGAGGCCCTCCCCAGTGTCTCTCCCCTGTGGTGACCTGTGCCCAGCTGGAGAAATCCCCCAGGAAGGAGCTCCCCTGCCCCGAGTGTCCCTGGGAATGCAGGCTCTGCCCAGGCCCTCTCCCAGGCCCCAGGAGATGTAGTACAGCTGTGAGGTCTCAGCAAAGCGTTTTGTAGAGGAGAGCTGAGCTTAGGCAGGTTTGGAAATTAACATTGGCTCTTCTGAAAAAAAAAAACCCCAAACTTCTATGGGAGTTTGACAAACCTGTTTCAGAAATACCAGAACAAACGCTTACCCAGAGGAGCCTCTGCTCTGACCACAAACAGTTCTGACTTCCTCGAGGCTGCAGGTGTTTGGCAGCCACATACCAAGCAGTGTTTGCTGTCCCAGCTCCCTTCTGTAACATGCTTTGGCCAAGTGTGGGTATGTTTGTTTTAGACATAAGGATTTACAGTATGACTGGAATTCACTGCTCCTGATACCAGCACTCATTTTTTTAGCTTTGTAGCCATGGCATCAAATGAAGCAGGCCAGCCACCACCACATTCTAATGTGTGGACCCTCTATTGCCTTACTGACTTGAGAGAAGGCCAAAAATCGCCACCACCCCTTCCTCCTGCTGGAGCTGGTGCTCCTCATTCCCAGGAAGCCATCAGTCTTTCCAGGGGAGGATATCAACAATGCGGTCACCTGTCACAAGTATTTGTGATGCAAGAGGGCGGCAAGAGGGGAGACGCTCCACCTTTCATTTCAGTGGGCTCTAATGTTCAGGACACACAAGACTGGAAGCCCCTTCCTGGCCATGCTGTCTTTGCACAGCAAGCCCTAAGAACTGGGAGGAGATTCGCTGCAGTCCCAGTGCCGGTTGCCAGGCTGGCTGCTGAGGAGCCAGCTATGGCAAGCCCCAGTTCCAGTTCCGCAGACAGAACTGGGGCTGCACCATGCACACCCGAGGTTCTCTCAGTCGCCATCCCGCTGGATGAGGTGATGATGTCTGCACAGGCTCACCAGCTGGGGAGGAGCACGCAGGTATAAATGTCACGGTGCCGCAGGGTAGATGGCCACTGTGTCAGGCCCCATTCCCCGAGCAGGGCCACGAAGAAGTAAGTTTGCTTCTTGCATGGGTCTTGCACAGGGTGATGCTAGTGGTTGGATTTTGCTGCTAAAAGCTTAATTTAACCCTTTTCAAAATGAAATAAGGTTTAAGACCAGTGGTTAAACTTCTTGTCATACGTAACAGACCCAATGCCTTCCTCTGCTCATTACACTTTGCAAATAGTAGTACTAGTCTTGCTCTGGTTTTTAGTCTAAAGTAACCCAGATTTTAATCTCACATTCATACACATCTGGAACACTCAAAGTTCCGGCGGCAGGCACAGTGTTCTACTCAGAGTGTGGCAAAACGCCCTCAACTCAGAGTGCAGTTAGGTAGCAATTAACGTAGTTCTTGTTCCGCACTTTCTAATGAGTTCATGTTGTCTTTTAAACAGGTTGAGAAGAGAGGCTGCTTGGACTGCAGGAAGAGTTCAGGAGGAATGGAGTTGACATTGCAATAAATCAAAGAACTTAATGTAAATGCTCCAAAAAAGCCAGCCCTGAGAACTGCGTTCCCTTGCGTTTTATACTTTCCTATCCGAGCGCAACGTCCTGCATGTTAACGTTGTGTAAATTATGGCCACTGAGACACATCTGCTGCAGCTGTTTTCACTAAGGAGTGACCCAGCACAGTGTATGCATGCGCCCCAGCGCTACTGCCGGGTCACCTACAGAGCCCGAGGCAGCTCAGTGTGACCAGGTGTAGGCTACACTGGGGGGTTACACCCCAGGAAAGAACTGTACGCACAGCAGGAGCAAGAGGACAGGCATACTTTCAAGTGGAGGAAGGACTTCTTCTCACACATGGTCAATTCATTCGAACTGCAGGTTTGGCAAGGAGGACAGCTGAGGTTATGTGTCAAGGAAGGGGTTAAGTACCTTTATTTTGCTTTAGAGGTTTCAGAGCTGCAGCTGTGGTCATTTAAATTATGCCAGACTCTTGAAATGTGGTCTACAAAAAAAATAATTCCTTCTTGTGAAACATAAGTCGCTCAAAACAGAAGAAAAGTTGATGTTGTGTAGAGGCTTCCCCCCTTGGACCTGGGTGGGCAGGCAGGAACTAAATGCTGTGTTGTTCCTAGCACCGAGCGCTCAGTGCTGGGTGACCCGCTGAAGCCCTGACCCAACAGCCAGACTGTTGCTGCAGCTCTCGCTCACCCCTGCAGTTGCACAGGGATTAAGGCAGACTTCAAGAAACACGGGCCAGCGTAGAGGCTCGAGTGCAGGCGTGAGGCTTCCAAGAGACAGCGCAGGTGTTCAGTTCCTGCATCTACAAGTCACTGTGAACTGGGCCGTCACTGCGAACTGGGCCCTCACACAAACGGCTGCCAAAGCAAAGGCTTTCCCTTATCTGTGCAAATACACCTCGGCATCGCTACCTGGGTAATTCCAGTAGCGTGCAGAATAAAAATAGAAAGCAGTTCACTGCCTTATGCCCCGTTTCAGTGGTCCATCCGCCAGGCCAGAGCTGCAGCCACAGTGCCTCCTGGAGGAGGAAGCTCTGGGCTGCCCAGCCATCCCCACCGCCCCCATGGAGGCTGTTCCTGCTCAGGGGAAAAGGGGGGTCCTGAAGCACTGGGAAGCACCCCGCATAGCTGCACTGCAGCAGCTTTTGGGTTGCTTGGAAAGGGTCAGCGCTGTCAAACACCACTCATTTTAGATGCAACAAGTTTTGAAGCCTTTATTTAGTAGCAATTAAATTATTCAATTAACGCTAACCTCCAGACAGCAGTTAAAATATTGTACAAAGAGCAGCTTGCCCTCTAGAAGCTCTGTACACAGTCCAATATAAACTTACACTCTAAGGTTGAACGCACCCCACGGAAAAGGGGTAAAGCAGCTGTGCACAGGCGGCCTCGCAGAGGTGCCGCGCTGCCTTGGAAATGCACCAGACTTCCTCCCGGGGAGCCCCCACAGTACAGACATGGGCCCTGTCCTCCCCGCCACGCTCCGCCGGGTCCTGGACTGATGAGGTTCTCGCCTTTTTGCAGCGGTGCTGGGCACCTGGGCTTCTAGTGCTTGAAACAGATTCTTTTAAATCCCATTACTAGTGTGCAGTTCAAATCAAATCTGTAGATATTTAAATGGCTCTTAATTCCTTAAACCATAAGGTTGGTAGCAAAAGAGGAGAGCAAAATTGAAAACACACTGCACAAAACATTTAATAAATACCTCTGAGTAATGTTACCAGCTGAAACAACTGCATTAATGCTCCAGAGATGGGAACGCTTCTGGAATCTCTGTCCAGAGCTCAGGATTCAAGGGAGTTACTTTAGTAAAAGAAAACTCACTTTATGAAAAATTACATCTTTACAAAAGTGACACACCCTTCTTCCTTTAAGAACCGAATATTGCAGTTACTGTGTGTGCTTTTACACACTCCCATGTCACAATAAATAAAACCAGTTTTACTTGTGCCGATGTGATCTATGAAAGAAAGTATTCACAGAACAGCCAAAGGAGTTCCGTTCCTCATACACCACAACCTAACAGAGGTGTATTCAGCAAACGGGGCAGCTCGAAACCACGGCGACTGACTTTGTCCACACAGGACCCACCGTCAGCCAGAAAAATTATTCCCCTACCTCTGGGACTGCAGCTCATGTGCCAGCAGATTTACTGTGGAGACACTTAATATTCTGTTTGATAACATGTCAGTTTTGTCAGGAAGTAAGTAAAACAAGGGAAACATTAAAACAGATTAAGACTTATTTGTATCAGTCACAGGCTCCTTATTGCATTTTAATAAATATCAGGCAAGTTAAAGTAGTTTCTGTTCCAGTAGTTGCCAGAATAAAGCCAGTCCTGCGTGCCAGTATAGGGATTGGGGCCTTGGTGGAACCACCTGCAAGGAAACACACAGCGCGTTAGCGAAGCTATTAACACACACTTCTGTGGAAGTTCAGAACTGCTTTGCTGCACCTTCAGCAGTTTGCTGTTCAAAGTAATTATTTGTGATTGCAGGAGTCCTCTTGGTTTTAAATTCGTAAGTGAATTTAAAGTCATCTTCAGTGCCCGGATGTCCCCATTTGCCAGACTGCTTCAACATCTCCTAGGTGAAGTTACCGACACCGGTATTTTGTCACTCGAAGCAGTCAGGACTATCACATAAAAAAGGACAGGGCACAGTTTTACTTCAAAGCAGTTGTGAACAATCATTTTGGCATGCGTAAGCAGTAACCGTTTTTGCAAGATGCGTAAACACCACAAGCACTGCAGTCTTGAAAACAGAAACACATTATTTCCCCGGGATCTAGGTTTCCCCTTGTTTTTTAAAGCCTTATTGTGTAATGCACTTAACTTGGAGCAAGTGTGCCAGCTACCCTCAGCGTAGATGAAGTATCCCCCGCAGGCTGCAGGAAGAGTCCTGCCTTATTACAACTTCCCTGTGTTGCATTACATGGTTAGCACTGGGAGGCTACTTGGAATGGCCAGAAAGCTGATTCCAGCTGCATGAAGTTTCTTGCCAGCTTTTGCTGAGCTGGTTGTTGCTAGGAACACTGAAGTTCAGCACCTTCTTTCTTTCCTTCCCTCTCCCCTCCTACCTAAGCTGGAGGCACTGCATATACGCACATGCACAGAATACACCTGCACGTGTATGTAACTTTTTGGTGGGGGGGTTATCTGTAAAATAAGGTGCACTTCCAAGGCCACCAAACCACCATGGCACAGAAGTTTGTCATCCTTCCTCCTCTCTCACACCCTCTCCTGGCAAACCCACAGCTCGTCACTGAACGCCACTTTCTGTTTGGACCCAGCTAATCTTCTGCCCCAACGGCATGCTGTGCAGTACCGGACCTCTAGCATTTTAACTTCTTGCTGTATTTTGCCAAGCCGTGCTATGGCACAAGCGGGCTTGCTAGAAGCTGTTTCTGTGGTTAATATGCACCTTTCACCTCCTCACTGGTCACAAAGGCCAGTTCTGCCTTTATGTACCTCACTGCAGAAAACACACCCGCTCAAGTAAATCAAGTGTGTGCAAGGCAGCCCATTTTAACTCGGCTCTTCCCTTCTAGGGTACCATAAGGTTCCAGAACAGAAATAAAAGCACATCTGGACCAAATATGACTTGATCTCTTTAAAAACCAAAATCATAAAGGCCACCAGCACTGCAGTGTCACATTACAAAGCAGGGCAGCTAACAGGAAAGTCTCGCTTGGCACAAAAGATTTGAGATGGGGATCGGAAGAAACACCTCGTACTGCCTTCACAGGGGTTAACTGACCAGTTGAACACCTCAGTGGTTCTCCTGCTGTCCCAGTTAAGTGAGCTGAAGTCAAGGCAGAAGGCAGAAGTCATTCACCCCTGGTACTGCACGTGGATTGCGACTGCACCTCCACACAGGATGCGTCAGCTGTCCCAAAGGAACTGGTGCCTGCGTGCATGCACGTGTCTGGCTCGGCTCCTAGGCCACCGGTAACAGCAGCTCATTCCAGAGCACAGAGAGTTTGCCACAAGGCAGGGCTGTAAGCGCAGTGGCCTCGTCTCTCAGAGTAAGGAATCCTACACCCAGTCCCTCACTCATGTGTCTTCAATGCTTGTACAGGTCAGGACAACGTGGCTCTCCTCCAGTGACCACCTACTTCAATGGGAAGGGGAAAGGCGATGGGAAGAATTAAGTCTGAGAGACACAGGAGAGCCAAAGCGACCAGATGATCCAGCCAGGGAAGTGATGGGGGAAGCAGGGCAGTGATTCGTGTCAAAAGCAACAGACCACTGCTGTGTTTTAGAACTGAACTAGTCTGTTACTTGGGACTTAAGACTACTGGTCAGTCTCTAAAACATGAAGTGTTCAACATACATCGCCTCCCTAGAAACAGTGAGACTCCACTTCTAAAGGGGATTCAAAATAATTAAAAAAAACACCCACTAGGCACTTTGGAGAGCTGTCTTACGAGGGAGGAACTCTACTAGACAAAGTAAGCAGCCTGCTTCTCTGTGGCAAGGGAACTGCAGTAGTTTACATCAGAGTTTACATTACACTGCAGATTCAGACCTACAGCTGACCTTCTGGGAACAGGTAGAGGAGTCCCCCTTCACAGTATGCACTCTTTTCCCCCAAAGCACAACTCTTCCTACACACTTTATGTTCATCCTTTGGAGGCAGTCACACTTGGCATTCCTACTAAAGAGATCAGACACTCGGAATTTTCTGCCAAAGCTTTAGGAACGTCCTGGAAAACACAGAGTTCTTAAAGGATATCCCAGGAAAGTGCTGAGCAGGTCTACAGGACCTGCAGAACAGCAACCGAAGAACCTTGCGAATGGTGTCTGCACTAATCATCCACCCCAAAACCCACTGCTCTGAGGTGCCCCCTGGGAATTCTCCAATTTCCAACACCAACCTAAGGTGCTTTGAGCTATACGTTAAGCTACTTCAGGCACCTGGAAGAACACAACACAACTACCCCTTGCTTTGAAAACACTAAGTGAGGGCTAGAACCACAATCCAGGACAGGAA